GATAGACAGGAGGTACGGTACTTTTCAAGCCGTATTGCTCCTCTGGTATGTACCTTGGTATACCACGTGGATCGGAAAAGCCATCCTATTGGTCAAGAAATCTGGAAAGCCTTTTGCAGCTTTTCGGTCGGCGCGCACCCTTACGTTCACACGCCAACTTAGCACGCCAAGTCAACAGTACGTCTGCAAATGTTCGGGGTTTTGTAACAGCTGCTTTCCGCTGCCGCAGGATAATCGTAGGAAAGAGATTATTTCGTTAACAGAGGCTCAAACCGCCGGGGATTGCAAGGTGTGCTCCTCGACCGCCGCATAACCCAACTCATGAAGTTGCTGCGTTCTTCGCGGATTCTTCTTTCTCAAAGTGGATTGGATTACCAGCAGGAGGTTTCTTTTCGTCTTCAAACGAGCGGCGCGACCAAGACTTATGAGCGGAATCCTGTTCTCGAAAAGCGAACGCGACCGGACAAAGTAACGTCAAGCCAGAGAAAGGAAAAGTCTCGATCCTAACTAAAAGCTCTATGCAACAAGGTCAATACAGCGGACGAAGGCAAATTCAAAATTCTGAACCCATTCACGCACTTCGCACCCGAACTCACCAGCCACCAAGCTAAGCTTACCCGTCCCCCGGGCTTGACCTTATCATTCACAGCACCGATTCTTAAACGAAAGGTCGGACATCGAGAAGAAGGCAAAGCGAAACACGAGCGCACCTCATCGATGTGGGTGTGGCCCCACTTCCGCGCGTGCTCGACCGTGGAAGAGTCGTCGATGAACGTCATCTGAGGGGGATAGAAGCGAGTAAGTCAGCTCTTCGCATGGGAGCACTTTGAGCTACAGACCTTGTTGAGAGGCGTTTTCGAAACGGCGAAACAATCAAGTGAACAATCCCTTTCAGTATGTGCCAGAAAGCGGAGAGGGTCAGAAGCCATTTTCTTCTTTTGTTAGCAATTCATCGACGATGTTGATCCTTATCCTAGCTTGCAAGTTCCACCGAAGAAAGTGAACAGGGACGTCAAGCAAGCGGAAGGCGCCACCGAAACCAAATTCTTCAGACCTTTGATCGGACGCATAAGCCTAGGCAATGAGGCGACACATAGTGTGGACAGGGCACCTTTAGTAGAGGCAACGGTCAAAGAAGTCGTGGAGTCGCCTCGATGTAAACCGAGGATTTGACAGAGGCATCAGCTGACGGATCGGCCCAACGCAACTAGCGGCGGGGGGAGGAAATCGAAAAGGAGACCAATGCGGGGCTTAGCCTGGATACGGACCTCCATGATGAGCAGCTTGGCGCGCAGGACGTCCGCATTGCCGGGGTCGGTGAGGAACTCGGCTGTCGTGTCACCAGTGAAAGCCACCTCGGGCACCTCCTCCACGTCAGTAATCTGCACATGATGTCAGCCGATGTGTGACGAGAGAGGGAACTGACGTCAAAATCCGGTCAGCCCATTCGATAGCACGTGGGCAATGAACGGTAAGCGACGCAAGCAAAGGACGTGCGAAGTGGGATACGAAAGGGATTGGGGCAAGCAACGAGAGCGAAGTTTAAGCCCCGAGCTGAAAATGAGATTCGCAACGATGAAATTACAAGAACTCGAGAGAAACTCCAAGACGCAACGCATGCCAAGTTGAAATCGGAAGGAAGGAAGGAGGAGGAACGAAAGGAATGCGTGTTTGCAAACTGCAACTCCAATGACGCACCTCGACGCCCGACTTCCTTAGCCGGCCGATCTCTGGCCCAGGCAGCCCCACGAACTCTTTCTTCAGCTTCTGCCGCCGCGAGTACACCACGTAACCCTGGCTGGGCACCACGTGGTACGTCCGGAACGGCTTGACGAACAACTCGCCCGACAGCCGCAGCTCTTCCCCAATCTGCGGGAACGTGGAAGCGGGATTGGGCGCTTGCATCGCAGCTTCAGAGGTGATGACTTCCACGAACCGAGGGGGTCGGAGCAGACTTTTCCCTCTCCCAAGAGGACAACAAGAATGTGATGACTGCAAGCAAGGTGTTTCGAGGAAAATGTAACTTCGAGTACACATTGCCCAAGGATTTCCGCAGAGGCCGCTTCTCAATTTGACGGTATGCTAGTCATAGACCGACAAAGGATAGGAACTGTCCAGATGAAGAAGAACGTTTCTTTGCGAGAAAGTCGTTGTCAATCGAAGTTAGGCGTCAGTTCAAAAACAAGGATTGGCTTACCTCGAGCCCAATGAGTTTGTGTTCTAGCTCCGCATTGTCGAGCGCCCTGAAAGCGTTGAACAGGTTCTCCACCCCAGGCACGATGACCTTAGGAACCACGATGCGCGGGGGCTTCAGTGAGAAGAGGCCGCGCGTTGCGGCTTGGAGGCACACCCCGCCCTGTACGAGTTAAAAGCATTCAGCTCTTGCAAGTCCTTCAGCAACGAACGATTGAACCAAGCAAGTCTGGAACTCATACTGAGTTTTCGTGGTCGAACAACTTTAGGAGACCGAAAGGAACTGGACTCTTTTGGAAGTGAATCTCCCCTTGTGCCTCTCAACCACTTGATGAAGCTGAAAGTGAACTCGGGTAAGGAAAGAGAGAAACATAATGAATCTGACACCTGATTGCTTGCTGGGGGCCTAAATCTTCCTGTAAGTAGTCTTCCTCCAATGAAGTGGAACTTTGAGCAGCTTCTGATTGAACATTCTATTGTTTGGCAGTATGATCGGGCGAAGCTAAACAGAATCTGAGGAGATATAAGTGCATAAGAAGAGTATGAGCCGGAAAAGGACTTACTATGTGGTCCATGTGAGCATGGCTGATGAGGACGTTATCCTGAAAGACCGCTCGCTGCGGACACCTCCCAACGTCAAACGCCACTTTCATACTCGGAATGATGATACAAGTCTCCTGACCCCCGACGGACACGCCTTGCAGAGTAACACCGCCCACTGTGATGGTGGACAGATCGCCCTGAAAAAAGAGATGCCTGTGTTGTGTGCCAGCAGCTCTGCTCAGCCAGTGTTTGGGGAGCTTCAAGGCTGACAAGACGGCAAACATGTGCCCCTTCAGCAGAATTGCACTCTTCAATGCACCAGAGGGTCTGAAAGAGGGAGCTTGATGTTGCCTATTGTCAAGAGGACATCCGAATGGTGAGCTGTACATGATACACACTATGTGCAGCTGCCAGGACAACGACAGACCATATTTATTGAGCCAAAACTTCCGATGCACAAGCAGATGTGGGGCGAAGCATTCGAGTACCCACCCTGTTATGCAAGTTTGACGTGGATGCTCCTTCTTCTGTTGAGTTAGCTCCTTCTGCCTTGCCCTTTCTCTTCTCTTTGACCTGGGGCACTGCATGCCCCAACGCTTCGCTGCTCACATCCTCTGATGCAGAGGGTGGTGTCCTTCCTGTCTTCACCTCTTTCTCACCTTCTCCTATATCCTGACGTGAGGTCTCCATCTGAAGCTCGTTCTTAACTTTTGAATGTAGGCGCCAAATTGAAGAGCCGATCCTGCTGGGTCTCTGATTTGACTGCCACAACCTGCCACTAGGGAGTTTTGGGTATCCTTCGTCCCTTGCTCTGGGTTGATGACCTGCTCTACTGGCGAGCAATTCACGAAGACAGAAGGCAGCCAGAGGATGATTTATAGTGGTAAGTTTTGAAAACAGACCCGATCCACAAGTTGCAGCAAAGTGAATCCTATGATCAGATATTCCGCTTACAGAAGCTCTAGAAGGACTCTGCTGTATGCTTGTAAGAGTAGTGAACTGGGTGTTTCTAAGAAGGCGAAGCCCTTGGCCGCTGCTGCAAGCAACCATTTTCCTGCATGTGGCAGCACACTCCATTTGCAAAATCCGATCGAGAGCCTGGCTTCAATTCCGCTGGATTAAAGGTTACGTGTCGGTCACCTTCTAGCGGAAGTAGAGCGGAACCGGAGCTCTGTACTGTAGTAGAAACAGGCTGCAGCACAAGGATGATCCCCCTTGTTTCTAGGCCCTACAATGGGCTCCCAACAGGCAACCAAGATAGCACCGATTCTATACAAATCAGGTTCCACAGGCATTACCGAGTACCCAGCTCCAGCAACTTTACCGTTATCACTTGCATTTCGAGCGAGCGAACTACCTAGGGAGCATCTTCTGCTTTTCCTCCAGCATTCTCGTCAAGAACGCCCAGCTGAACAAAAGGTGGACAGAACAGAAAATGGCCTTCTGTGCCGCTCGCACCTGTAACTGGCAGCTGCACCAAGCTGGTCAAGGCACGAGCTTCGTCCCGGGTGATGAAGGCCATAATGCAGGCGGCTGGCCGCATCCTGGTCGGCACCCAACCATGCTCTGGCATAAGGATTCATCGAGACGCCAAGCTGAAATGACGAAGTCAATGCTTACAGATTGTGAAATGCCAATGTGGCCCTCACGGAGCTCACATTGCTGGTCGGGCAACACGTCAAGGGGCACGCTTGGATACAGCACAGATTGTGGACGATTAGGCTCCGGAGAGAAGACAGCAACATTCATGAGAAGAAAGAAGAGGCAGGTCAGCTTGCCACGTGCAACGCTGGGGCAAGCAGAACTCGCAGAGATTGCCCGGAGTAAGTCAGATGTAAGCGTCACCCTCTGCATCGATTGCAGGTTTCAAGCCCAGCTTTGAAAGTGAAGAAAGGACCTTTGCAATCGCTAGGCAGTGATCTCCAATCTGAGAAATACATACTGGTACGGCCCCCATCCTCGTGCTTGATCACACTGCTAAGGCATAAGCTATGAATATCGGCAGAAAAATCTACCTGTTGCTTTGAATTTCACAGCCTGAACGGGAATTGTTGCTGCACGTTGATGCCATTCTCGTTGTGTTTTTGGCAGTCCCTGAGGTTGTGACCGCATCCTGGGAGCTGCTCAGGGCGTTCGACAAAAACGATGCTCGAGGGGAGTCGCAGCCATCCCTGGCTACGGAAGAGAGCCGCGCTGCGCTCAGAGACGCAGTGAGTGTGGAATCCTTGCAACTTCTTCAATCAGAAGGATGAGGCCGGATTATCTTCTGCTGAGGTTCCATCAGCCAACCACGTATAAAACCGTAAGCCGATCCTCTGGATTGGAAAAAGTCGATTAGCTCTTTGCGGGGACAATGCCGCTTGCGTCACTGATTGACAAGGACACTGGCATGTATCATCCAAGCTGTTCAGGCTAGAGCCGTGAGCTAGTCCTACACTTAATACTTGGAAGATTCAAAGGCAGACCCCATTTGGCACTTGTTCAGGTGCTTGTCGCCAGTCGTGCGGCAGAAATCAACGAGCAGGCGTCTCCCTTACTGGGCATCTGTGCGTCGAGTGTGGCTGACGGAGTGCGTGCTTTGCGGGAGTGGACGGCCGCCCTGAACACCACCATGAGCATGCCGGTCAGCAAGGTGGGGCAACCCGTATTTGAAAGAGACTGCTTTTTAGAGTGTTGCATCAACACTGACGAACGTGATTCTCTGTGCAGAGGACTAGTAAAGGCATATGCCCTTGCCTCCCAACTTTGAACTCTCTTGGAAATCGACGGAGGTTTCGAGTCCTCAGTAAAAGATAGCATAGCGAGTAGATCTTGTTCCTGCTATAGATTGGCAAAAGTCAGTCTACTCGTTGCCTGCTTTAGATTGGGCAAAACTTACCGCCTTCATCGGAATCAGTATCTCAGGAGAGCGCCCCTATTAAGATCTAAGATAGCGATATCGGTGAGGGGAGCTCCGCTTTTTAAAAGGAGTCACTCTAGTTCTAGTCGAAAGGAACCCGTTAAGGTTCTGGCGCTGCCATCCTTTGGGATCACATCGTATCTGGAACCGTCTCATGATGCTGCTTGGGGACAAGCCACTTCACGATTTGGCGCGTCACCAGCGACCTATGTTGGTGAACTGTTTGCTTGTCACGCTTGCTGCTTCTGCGTACTAGAGAAGTGGAACAAAGGAGCCCTGTGTCACCTCACTGCAGGAAGACGGTCAAGCAGACATCACCAAAATCGACACGCCGGTGTACATAAAGTACAACGCACGGTCGCTGGTGAGATGCGACGCCGATCCCGAGACAGCGCTTGAAGCGATCCCCAAAACGAATCCGCCCGGGGAGGTTCCAAAAGAAGCCTCATGGTGCTTTTTCGAGGCGCCCACTCGGTTCGATGTCAAGCGCTGTGTCCCTGCGCTTGTTCTTTCAGGGTCGAACAAGTCTCTCTTGCTGAGAGAATCTCCACACTAACCGCGCTTTTGTGATTCGAAGTGAAGCTGCTAACTTGTGTTGGTGTGTCGACAGTTTTGCTACCTGACGCAGTACACCGGAAAATACCGGGGCGTCATTGTGCAGGTGAGCCTGGTTCTAGAGTCCTTTTCAATCTGTCACGAGACGATTTACCATCGCAAAGCTGGCTGGACAGAAAGAACGTGTCGTTAGGGCGGAGACCGGTCAGAACTCTCGGGCTTGGAGGTGGCCTTTGAAAGATCGGAAAAAAAAGGGTCAACTACTGAGGATGAGATCCTATCCACAAAGGTCCAGCTCGAAGCGGTGCAGCACCAGAACATTGGATTGTGTCTGAAGTCAGTCCCTTTGGCTGAAACTCAGACTTACGGTCCAGCGACAAATTAATCCTGCTGCATTTCCTCTACGGAAAGCTGAGCAGATTTGACTTCTCCCCTGGGACAGCCACCACAGAATCGAGACTCTGAGGTCACTTTGAAGACGAGACTGAGTCTGCTCTGAAGTCACTCTGGAGTCACTCTGGAGTCAGTCTGGGTCACTCTGAAATCGAAACTTAGTCCGCCTGCCAGTCGTACAGATTGTCACTTCGCTTAGTGACGCGTGCTCCCTCCTGATCGACAAGGTTAAATAGGATCCCAATCCCGGGTCTTCGCAACGATTGACTTTTTCTAACTGTTTATGCCCTTTATTTTGTGATTGTGCTTGCAGTTGGGACAACAACAAGTCGGCCACCTACCGCTTTCATTGTTCCAAGACCAGTAGAAAGACAGGATCGAACTTGACTATTAAGTCCTTCTCCGATGACTATAACTGTCGCTCTCGCAGCCTGCAAAAGGTTGGTCATGTGCATTCATGTAGTGACTTTTTCAACGCTTGCAGGGTAGCATTACTCCTTGATTGCCGAGGGGATCGAAAGAAATGATTCACCGCTAAGTGCATCTGTTCTGACATCCAACAGACTGGACAGCTAGACGCGTCACCTGCGTCCAGCAAATGCCAGGGCATTGGCTTGATCTTTAGCCGCGGCCATGACTGGCCGAAGCCGCATGTGCAATTTTTTTGACGGTAGGCTTCGATTCACGAATAGCTGCCCCGGCGCGGCCGCCACTGTCGTCTGGTCGGATGCAAGATCGCGAATAAGCCTGTAAAGGAATGGCCGACAGGCAGGCTAGCTTCGCACATGCTCTGTGTCCATCGCATGTGCGGCGGCCGCGCACATATCCGAGATGGTCGTTGTACGGACCCATGATATTCTGACGTCCGACGAACTGTCCTTCAGGTAGATACTATGCCGCGTTCATGCTATTGCAAGCTTGAATGACGCGCTGCACGTTTGCTAGTATACACAATTACTCAGTGAGCGGCTGTATGCGCCGCCAGGTGGGTTTCATGCATGCAATCATTTCAAATTTGATGATGGCTAGGCCTATTAAGACAAGCGGGTGACATGTCGCGGATATCCGACAGCTGTCATGAAAGTGAGCTGGCATGTCGAGTGACTGGATTGGTCAGTGTGTGTCTCAGAGATCCTCAAAAGAAAACAGTTGATCAAATTGGATCGACGTCTGCTGATTGCTATGCGCGCACGACTTCAAAGAATACGTGTTGTTGTGTCCTATTTGAATGTCAGTCTGTCCTTTGCTCAAGCAGTAAACTACTTTAATCGGCAGTCTTTACAGTCGTTGCAGTCGCCAGTAAGTAAAAGAATAAGAAAGAATGATGCGCGCGCTTAGCATGTCTGTACCAGTTCCTCTTCTATGCACTCCCCAACTTCCCCTTCAAGCCAGCACTCCCCACTTTCCCCGGGCTCGGCCGCCCCCAGGGGTGCCCAAGTCCCGGGGGCCCTCTATGAAAGTGCGCGGCGAGGTTCTGATCTCTCGCGCGGCCGGCCCGTCCAGCTGCTGACCCCCTCCTTTCGTTTCCCTCCTCTTGCCCACACTCAAAGCAACACACTTCCCCCCTCTTCAAAGCTCATAATAACCAATTCATCCCCCTCCTACTCAACGGTTCTGGCGGCTCCGCTCCACGTGTTAACAAGTCACCACAAACAGTGCCGTACCCAATGTCACCCGCGTGGAGTCAATCGGTCCCGACAGGAATACACGTAAGGAGCCGCCCCCAGAGTCAACCCCTCAACCTCCCTACAAAACAACTCGCCCCTCTCAATACCCAACCCATCCCCCTTACGCGCACGCCCCCAGCACCCCCGCGGCGGCCTGGCACAGCTTCCTGAGCCGCACTGCGGTGCCGAGGAGCGCGTCCGTGATGTCAGCCGCGGTGGGCCGTTGGTCGGGGTCGGGCGCGCAGCACGCGTCCGCCAGCTGGACCACCTCCGCGCCGTACACGTGGACGGCAGCGGGCCACGCCTGCCGCCCGCCGGTGACGACCAGCGACCCGAGCAGGGCCTGAAGACGGAGGGGGAAACTGTAAGGCTTGGATGCTGGGACACGAAATCAGGGGTACTGACAGAAGAGATTGTTGCAAATGAGAGGGCAAGTGATGAGTCAAGTGTCCTAAACATTTCGAAAACAGCAATGTAGCTTTTGTGAAACTTTGCCAAACAGTGCTGCAAGATGTACTCAAGAAGCTCGGAACGCTCGTGACCATCTTCACCTTATCAAGGACAATCTGGAAACTCGCACGGTCCTGAGAACAGTCCTCGCTTCTTTGCACAGCCGTGACGACAAAGCCAACAACGGTACTTAAAAAGTTCAATAAAGAACGTGCTCCGTTGCCTTACCTTGGTGTCACAGAAGCCGGTGTTGGGACGCGTCCCCGTCACGATGGCATGGATTGTCTTCCCGACCGCATAAACGTCAGACCGGCGGTCCTGGAAGCCCTGGTAAAACACCTCAGGGGCGACGTACCTCGGGGTGCCACACTGCAGAAACAGGGTTGAACGGGGTTAATAACACGAACAGAATTTGGAGGAGTCAGGTTCAGAGCCAAAGTAGAAATCAAAACATCCTCAAAACCGGGAGGAGACTTTTCCAACTGGTTAGCACGTGCTTCGGCTTCATTGAAACGGAAGACAAACGAATTTACGGTCAGAAAAGAGAACAGGGACATGCAATGCACAACCCTTTGCGATCGAACAGAGAACGTTGCAGTCGAACGGAAAGTGTGCGGAATGCACGGAAGGGGCGCTCACCCTGCCGTTGCCCTGCGGCTCATGCAGATACGTGGCAAGGCCCAGGTCCGCCAGCTTGCCCACGCCACGCTGACTCAGCAGGTTCTCGGGCTTGACGTCGCTGTAAGAGGAGGCGACGAACTGAAGTGAGTTCTCAATTGCCATCCGGACCGGACGCGCGGAATGCATCGCAAGTGGAAAACGAAGTGAAGATTGTTCGGAAAGCCGGGTCTGCGATCCGAGCAAAAAGCTCGCAGATTTCATGCAGCTCGAGATCGAACCTTGTCTAATGGCACACTTTCTAAAGGCACGACGACCTCATGACAACGTTCGTCACAGTGCTGTCAAATGTTTTTCCCCCTCGCAGACTCCATGCCTGTGCGTGGTATCGCCAGACTCTCTCAGTTGTTTTCTAGCTTTTAAACGGAACGAAATGGAGCGGAGCGGAACGGAACGGAACGGAACGGAACGTATGGAACGGAATCCGTACCGGTGCACGACGCCGAGCCCGTGCATATCCTCCAGCCCCTGCAGCGCCTGCCACAGGAACCGCACCGCCCGGTACAGCTGAACCGGGGTGCACTGCACGCCTGCCCCAGGCTGGGTCCACGTGGGCGGACCGTCCGCCAGGTCGAACACCAGAGCGAACCGGCCGAGGTAAAGTGAGAAGCCGCGGACGGGGATGAGGTTCGTGCAGCCGCTGCAGGCGGCGTGGAGCACGGCCTGTGGAAAGGGCGGAGGTGTTCTGGGTTTTTATTTGGGAGATTGCGAGTGTATCTCTTAGCAGATGGTTGCGAGGGACTGGCATTGAAGCACTTAGGCTTTGGAAGGCAGAACCAGATCTTGGACATGCAAGCGGAACAGAGGATGCGATTTTGTACGCTCGTTTTTGTGAAGTTTGTTTTGGAGATAAGCTGCAAAGCGTACGCGGTTCTCCTGACAGAACAGATTTCCAAACTGGCGCATCCCACACGGATCGCACTTATCCTCGAGGGAAGCTACTGCAGCGCATGCAAGTTCGTCTTTTGACTCACCTCCCGGACCAGGGGCGCCTCTTCTCCAACGGCAAACTTGATGGCGGCCGAGAAGCTGAGGCCGTCACCAGTGCGCGCCTCCCCCGCAAACACCACCCCCTGACCGCCCTGAAGAGGCAACAATCCCATTAATGAAGTTCGATGATAGATTCAAACGTGGTTTGAGAGACCGAAAAGTGTGCATTGTGCATTGAACTGGGAACTGAAGTATGCAACAAGGGAGCAAGTGAAGTCTTGCAAGATAGTTCCCAAGCCAGCCTCGACTTCCAATCAAGAGGTGCAGTACGTTGACTGGCGAAGAGGTGGAAGAAACCAAGTTGCCAGCCGTTGTTCGATAGAAGAGAGTCAGAGCTCCTCTTAGCATAGTCCAAACAAGATAGGCAACGCATTCCATTTTGAGTAAGCGATGGCAAGCAGCTCACTCTCGCCAACTCCCGCACCAGCCGAACGTTGGGGATGAACGGCAGGACTCGCGCCAAGTCGGCGTACTGGATCGGGCACACGCTGGGAACAGCACCCTGCAAACAAAGCAACACTGCGGTAAGACCTCGGCCACTTTTGCCTTGGTAACGTTTCCGTGCCTTTTCAGAAAATGGTGGGATCCCCAACACCTCCTTCAGCGCAGAATCACAAGGTCTGGGATCAAGTTCTGATCCTGAGCATATGATCAGGAGCCAAGAGTAGAGATATGGTTCAAAGCTTGCACGAGACCGTGACCACTTCTCACCTCCCAGGAGTCCTGGACCTGCGGCGCCGCCTCTGCCTCCCCTGCCCACAAGGGCCCCGCCGCGGCTTCTGCCCCGGGAGTCCCAACCGACTCCTCCTCCCGAGGACACGTGTCGATCTCCCCTGCCTCCACCTCATCTCTCTCCTCCCCCTCCCTCTCAGTCTGCGCCCCCTCCAAAAGTGGCCCCTCCTCGTCAAAGACGAGATCCACCACTGCCCGCACGATGTCGCCCTCATCGGCCCCATCCCCTGTCAGCGGGACGTCAGCAAAACCGAGCCCTGACCAGGTCTCAATGTCTGGGAGCTCGACCGGGGAGCTCTCGACCGGGGGGCTGGATCCGAGCGGGACCGACTCGAAACAGCTCGGTTCCGCCGCCCTGGGGGAAGGAATGGGCTCGCAGGCAAACACGGGGTCGGAAAACAACGAGAATGGGGAGGAGGCACCCGCGGGGGGAACAAAAGCATCAGAGCTAAATAGCCCCCCTCCAATCTCTCCCAACTCTGAGCTCCTGCCGTGCGGCTCTCCGTCCCTGGTGATATCTCCCCCCTCCAAACCTGCCTCCCCATCATCCAATCCCAAGCCCAGCACCGCTCTCTCGATCTCACTCTCATCCCCCTCCTCCGCTGTCAGAGGCACATCCACGAACCCCAAGTCTGCCAACGTCTCGGGCAGGGGGTCCTCGATCAGAGGAGTCTCGATCTGCGGGGCGGTGCGGAAGGGATCGACAGTGCTCGGGACGGCAGCTCTGGGGGTTGGGATGGGCTGGGCAGGGAAGGCGGGGTCGGAGAATAGCGAGAAGGGGGACGAGGTGGCCGTCGGGGGGGTGAAGGCATCACTGCTAAACAAACCCCCCTCTGCAATGTCCAAGCCCCAGTCATAGCCGCGCTGCTCTCTCTGAGGGGGGGGGCTGACGTGCGCTGAGGCGGCGGAGGCTGCGGCGGTGGGATAGTCGGCCACCTCAGAAAGGGGCGCTGCAGATGGTGCCGGGAAAGAGGAAGGATAGGACTCAGACCTCGGTTTTACAGAGCAACTATATATTGTGAGAACAAGAATTGTCGTGTGGGATTCAGGGGTGGAACCCGTACAGGACTTTGTTCAGGCACTGCGATACAACTGAGAACTTGAGCATGGAAAACATGAGCCAGAACCTCATTAAATACTCTAGAAACAGGATGATGCCCCAAAAAGCTGACCCGACACTAGGGAGAACTTCAGGAGACTCCACGTTATGCAGTTTGCTTTGCATTCTTTTTCTGATCGACTCTTCTTCCACAAAGGAGGATTCCTGACCTCTGAACAAAGTTCATAGATGCATTGAATTCACCCAAATTCAGCCGGTACTAGTAACTAGCAAGTGCAAGATCCCCAGTGCTCAAGAATTCTGACTTTCAACACTGTCCAGTATACTTTCTAGAGATGCCAAGATTTTTTCAAATGTCACCTCAGACTTGCGAACTTTGAAAAGCAAAGAGCACAGACTAATCAGCGATTGAAGACTCGGGTTTGAGTCCTAGAATCTGTTTGATCTTGGACATTGCAACAGACATGAGATGCCCAGAACTGTCTGCAAAGTGCCTCAACATGATTTTGTTCAACTTGATTCTGGAAAAAAGGTCGACTTCCCGCGTATAAGTACTGACTGCTCCCACAAAGGATGAGCAAAACCTCTTGCACAATACCGTCATCATCCATGAACTCCCAACCACAAAGAATCTTTGCATAGACCAGCTCAAAAGAAATAGTATCAAATCTGCCAGAAGAAACAGCTCAGAAGTACCCAAATGCTCAGACGCTTGATTAAACACTCGTCAGGCACCTTTGCAAGCCAATTATAGCAAACAGCACTGCAGGATGTGCGTTTTCTTACCTGCGGGCAGGCAGCCTCTGCACGGTCAGCCCCGGGAGTCCCAGCTGACTCCTCCTCCCGGGAGCTCTGGACCATGTTCCCCTCCCGCTGCTCCTCCCACGGGAGTCCCTCCTCCCCAGCAACTCCCTCCTCCATCCCCACCTCCTCCCCTCCCTCAACGTCCGTGTCCTCCCCCTCAGACACTCCCACCTCCTCCGTCTCCCCCTCCTCCATCATCTCAACTCCCTCCTCCCCCTCTCAGATCTCATCCCCCTCCTCCACCTCTCTCACAACCCCCTCCCCCTGACCCTGCGCCTCCTTTTCCCCCAGGAGCGCATCCAGGGCCCCAGACAACTGCCCCCGCCCCGCCTCAAGCAGCAACTCCTCTGCTGGGGCCTTCCCCCACCCGCTGCAGATGGGGGTCAGAAAGCCATACACGCCCCCACGAATGGTATAGCTGTAGAGCTCAAGGGCGGAGACTATCAAGCGCCCTGCGCGGTCAAAGGCTGACGCCATGGCGCGCAAAGCACAACGCACAAGCTAACCACTACTGGGTGTAACCACGCAATGCACAACGCTCGATCGCACAAAGGCTGCGAAACGCTGGGCGCAAACACGCAAAAGCTCGCAAGTCATCTCCAGAGGGTATCTGGAAATGAGGACAGTGCAGCAGAGAATGCAGTCCACCCCCATTGCAGCTTAGCCTAGTCAGCCTATAAATTTGCTGTTGATCAGCTTATTTCACAAGCTTGACGTGTTTGTTCAACTTTTGAGGGAGCGCCCTGCCATGTAGCACTGGAGCCGTCGATGATTGAGAAAGTTGTTCATCGCGCCGTCAATTTGGAGAACTTGAAAAGCCAAGCCAGTTGCCGATGCCGTCGATAAGCGACATTCTGCATTGGACGGCCAGTACTTGGCGAATGTCACAAGTGCAAAATCCATATAATATGCGGAGGCTCTGCCACTGGACATTCGTTTTGCAGTCGGAACACATTTCTAGAGACTTTCACGTAAGTCTCTCCTTGCATTGCACAAAGGCAGCCCGCGCCCGCTGGATCAGATCGCTCTTTTGCTTGATATCAGCGACATACTTGAAGCATCCGCTGGCTTTGCAGCTTGCTTCTGGTGGCGTCTGCAGCTATAATTAGGAGAAAAAGGGAGATCCTGCAAATTGGTAGCATGATCATGATGCAAACCGTGGGGAGAGCAGCACAAAAGAGCTCTCAACCAGCAATGTGGGAGGGTGCAGGAGTCTGTTTCATACGTGCATAAGCTGCCCGGTGGGAATTTTGAACTCAACATTGGATTGAGTATGCCGGCTCGCAAGCCAAGTTGATACTTGTTAGCTGCTCTTTTGATGGTCAATGCAATGCTGGCTCTGCTCTCATCAAGTACTCAGTGGTTACTGGCATCCGTACTTCTACGACACTTGAGCTGGATCCTACTAAATTCGTCAGGACCTCTTTATCTTCCTTGCAGGTGCAAAGAACCAGGTCTTGGGCGCACTTGGCTGGAGTCTCCTGAGCAGACTAGCTGGAGAGAGAGCTTTGAGGTCAGTACTATATCTGAGCATTGAAATCGTTTGGGTCTTTTCTTCAAGGTGTCAAGGGAAACCATGTTGCAAGGCTTTCGATTCAAATCTTGGAGCTTTGAGAATTTTGCTACGTAAGCTGTTAATCCTGAAGGCAGCGTTATTGACCAAAGGGTTGCGGTTAAGGAGCCTTGGTGTTGAGTTGCAGCCTTTTCTGAGCTAAGAGTGCGCATGAGGACAGCTGCCTCGATGATGAGGGGCACCTTTGAGGTTCAGGTCGACGACAAACCTTTCCTGTCCCAGCAGTCGGAAGCACCATTTCTACGGCTTCAAAACATGCAAGCAGCCGGAACCTAAGCTAGTGGAAAATCAGCGGTGCTTCTGTTGGTCGTTGGACAGTTTGAGACCTTTCCACAGCATCTTCTCATGGACTCCTATTACTCTTTGCAGCAACCAGCAACACCCCCAAGACAGCAAATGCTTGACTAAGGTACAGTTTCGTTGTCCTTTGTCCTCTTTCCTGAACGTTGTGTCTATTACGTACTAGGAAGTACTCAATCCTCATGGTATTGTGAATTAGGATGACAAATATAGTGTTATCAAGAATCTGCAGCGTGTGCTGTCCTGCTTTACTGTGCTGCAACTTCGACTGCTTTTTGAGGGGCAGGTTGAGCTTCTCCATAGAGCTTCCTTCGCAGGACAACACCGTGCAAGTACAAGTTGGATCCGATAAGGTGAGGTACATCGCACGGTCAATCGCACACCAGGTCATCGGTGACCTCACACGTCGGTATGGGGCGGGCCGCCTGTTGACAGCGGACGGTGTCGGTATCCTTACCCCCCTCCTGGCCCTCGAGAAGGGGGAGTACACTTACGAGCCAGGTAAGTCAGGAGCATCTTGTGCAGCTTGGGTTTCAAGCAAGAAGCTCACAGACGGAGTCAGCAAAAGGAGAGCCAAGTTGTTTGACAGCCTTGGCCTCAACGTGAGCGGGAAAAGAAATGCATCCTGCTCAAGCGGCGCTCACATGCTCTGCGGAACTCTGCGGAGGATCGTCTCAGAAGCTTCCCTGGTCGTTGAGTCCTTGCATGACCCTTACTCAGGTTCGGGTCTTTCACTGTGGTGGCGCGAGTGTCTCTTTCACAACTTCAAAAGTGTTGCGTCGTCTTGAACCCTTCTGAATTCTCTACTCTCTCACATACTTCTCTGAAGCTGACGCGTCAGCTCAAAAGCGTTGCATTTGTGGCACTCCCGGGCAGCTGCTTATCAGGGTCTTAATCTTTAATGTTGGATTCCTGTACTTGTTTTGCATTTTCTAGGCACGTCAAAACCAATCTACAAGTCGACGAAAACGCTCGGGCCTTCTTCCTTTCGACCCAGGACCTTGATCTGCCAATTCATTGCCGGCCCTCTGTGAAGTGCAGCTTTTTGAGCCGTCCAACGGCAATCCACAGAGCAGTTTCAACGGCTCTGGACTGCTTAGCCTGATCTTTAGTCCGGAACAGAATTCATGTCCCATTAAAGTTCATGACACTCTTTGCTGACCTGGTCATACTACTTGCAGATCCTGCCATCGACTTCACCTTCAAGTGGACAGACTCCGATGACGAAGTGTTCGAGGAGGTGGTGCGCCTGAATGACCAGTCCGATCTCATACACGTGCTCAAAGTACCTATACGGGGCGGTCAGCTTCCGCCCTATTGGCTCAAAAGGGCCGTCCTCTATGAGGCTCGAAAACATTCAACCCGACAAGGTATATACCCTCGTGCAACCGGGGAGGCGGAGTGATGCACTGGAGGTGAGCCATGCTCTCGACGTTTTGTCGAAGGAGGTGGACAAGATGGGAGAGACTTTGTTGAGGGTAATTGGAAGCCAGGAGGGTCGACGCTTACCTGCTGCCGAGCATGCGGCGGTTCAAGGTGGTGAAGCATGAGCCGCATTACGGAGAGGAGGAGGCGAGCCAGGAATGGGGTGCGGCAGTGGTGATTAAGCGAGAGCAAGGAACGGAGCTCCTGCTCGCGGACCACAAGAGCCGGCTAAATGCGGCGGATATTCTGAAGATGGCCGTACGGCTCCAAAAGGCAGTTCAACGCTCGAGGGATCCCCGTGCGTGGAGGGCGTATACTTATCTGGCAGCATACGACCGCGTGAGAGCGGTTTGTACTACCAAATATATCGCTCCGTCCGAAAAGGAGGAGGTCAAGTGTGCAAGTGAGGTTTGCGACATTCCGGTCCTCGTTGAGAACGGTGCTGATCTGAGTACCTTCCTCAATCTCGAAGGCGATTGAAATTGCTGAGCCGATGTGACTGCGCCTTCTTCGACTTAATTTGCCACTGTCGCAACGAGGCGATGCACTTGCACAGGGCTTCGGCGTGCACGGCCGCTCGCATGTATATGATTCAATGTCCCGTATATGCATGTTGCGAATGCGTGCTGGCATGCGGAGTCTTTGCTTCTTGCACTTAAGATCGTATAGAAACATGGATTGGTCGGAACATCGATCACAGCTCTTCACTAAGCAATCATTAACGTGGAAACTTCATGCATTGCATGGTCGGATCATGCATTTACGGTTGAAAGAATCTTTGTGCTGAAGCACGCGCATGCAAGTGATCGGATGCTATCAAAGATTCATGCCACTTCTGAAATCCTCCATTGCGGGGAGCATATCATATGTTTGCGCGCATCATAGTAACTTCTTGCACGCTAGCTTGGGACCGGGCGGCGCTTGCGAAGTTGCGAACTTCAGCCGCCTAGCTCGCGACCGCCAATTCTAAACATGTGCAAGCACTCGAGCGATGCGTCCGAAAAGCAGTTGCTGTCTATTGCGGTGCTTTCAAAGGCGGACACGTCGAGAAAGTAGTAATTAGTTCAAGATGATGTCCTCAGTCCTGCCGCTGTGATACTTCACTCTAGGCGGTTCAGGCAGTCCAGCAACTTAGTACCGGAACGCTAGTGATTATAGCCAGCCGCATCCTTCTGATCTGATTATAGTCCAGGGTTAAAGTACGCCCCTAGGGCGCCTGGGTTGCCTCCATTCTGCGGGAGTCTGGCATCTCGACAGCTCGAGAAAACTTCTTTGCAAAGCATCCAGACTATGCACTACTCAAAAGTTACCCCTCCGGACAACGATTGCCTACGGTAGCACCGCCGTTTATCTTCACACGCGAGCCTGACGGGGACAAGCCTAAAGAAGAACGTGGCACAGAGCCGGGCCCTGCCGATAATCACAGCCTGTCTGTCGATCGATTGACCTGATTTCGTTTTCTTCGTTGCTTGTTATTTTGCACGTTGACCTGCTTTTATTCCATGATGAAGAACTTTTGAAGTCTTGCAGAAAGCCTGTTTCTCAAAGATCCAAAGCTGACTACTAGAAGAAGGGCAGAGATTGAGAGAACCACCGGAAGATTGAACGGAAAGAAAGGCACACTGATTCCTTGTCATTCTCCACCGCCTCCGACTGCCTCAAAAGAGTCCACGCCCACAGCGCCGTGATGACATGGCACCTCACAATCGCAGGCCCAGCAAAGTTAGGATCTCCGCAAGAAATGCTCGTCGGAAGACGTCAAGTTTTAAAATGCAAAGTCAAATACATAATGTCAGTGCTTCGACTAACTTAGTAGTCACCTTCAGACCTCTGAATGCAGCTCAGAGGTTTTGCGACTCCTTGGGGGCAATCGGCCCAGAGAATCTTCCAACGACTTGAGCAAGCTTTAAGTCCAGGAATTAAGGCGCAGAGCTTCCGGAAGCGGCGCTCTCAAACTGAATCTGGTTACGTATACCGCGTGCACCCTCGATCAATACGACGAGGCGGATGACTGTATTCCTGAGCTCCTGCTTGTCATGGAGCGTCGGCTAACTGATCAGGAGAAGTTTCGGAGGAAGTACCAGGCGCTCGTGCACGAAGACTTTTGGAAGCGTACGCGTGCGCATGCGTAAAGCTTTCTGGCAGCCTACTGCTACTGGTGGCTTGAAGCGTAAGTCACCTCTAGAGGCTTTCTGGAAATGAAATCCAATGAAAGTCCTTTATGAAAGAAGAAGATACAAGGCACAGTACTGCCTGAATAGGCTGCAACGTGCCTCGTCAGCTCCGGCATCGCCACGGTTTGTTCAACTTTTGAGGGAGCGCCCTGCAGTGTAGCCTGTAGGACTTCAGCCGTCGATGAGAACAGCGATTCCTATCGAACTTCCGTCGATTGAGGTACTCTAGATTTTATCAAGTCATTGGCACCGTCGGATGTTGACGATACTCTCGGACGGTGACTGTTATCGATGCTAAGTGCGCGCCGCGCTTTATGATACCTCAATCTTGAACAAACACGTTTTGCGGTGAAACTTGAAGCTGACTAGGCTGCTGCAAATTAAACGTTCAGTGATTTCTGCCTGGCTTTCGGACCCAAAGATCTTCTCCTGTAGAACTGCAAAACTTTGCGTGCTTGCGCCCTCGCAGCGTTTTGGCAACCTTCGTCATGCGCCCGAGCTGCGAACATAAGCTGTAAATCTTAGTAGCATAGCAAAGGTTCTTCAAGTCTGCAGCGCTCAAGCTCTGCGGCTGGGGCGCAGCTCTGGTCCGATCTTCCAGGATGAAGGACGTCGCATCGAGTTTAAGACCAAGGTTCAAGGTCCAGGGACCGAGGGCGCGCCACAACTTTCAGAAGCGTTGCTCCCAAGTTCAATCTGGGTACCACGCACCGTACTCTGTACACTACGAGAGGGCTTATGATACTCCTGAAAACGTGCTGGTCATGGAGCGTCGGCTGACTGATCAGGAGAAGCGTTTGAAGGAGTTTCGGGCGCTCGCGGACGAGGAGTTCCGGATACGTATAGCTTTCCAGAATGCTTATCGTGTCCTGCGGGCTGAGGCGGAGCTAGCTCTCAAAAACAGGGACGCGAAGAAGGAGCATGATCGAATAGAGGAACTGTATCAGGCACACGGGAAGTACCAAACTCTGTGGAAAGATTGGCACGACATTCGTGAAAGACTAGAAGCTTCGCGGGCGTTGATCTACGACAGTCAGGGATCCTCTGTAAGCGGTGCTAAAGCGCCAGTGCATCTCAAGACCTGTTGAAGTCTGTTGATCCTGCGGAGATTGACGGAGGCTTGATAGCAAGGAGTGCTCCAACCCTCTTGAATTGGAGCTCGCTACACGGTACGGCAATCCTAGATACAGAAACTTCAGCATGCCAGTCCCTACTCCCTGAAGCAGAGCGCCACAACATGGCTTGTGATTCTTCCATTGTTCATGTAATAGTTTTTGTCGTTTGAACTGACTAACGTATAGCACGTGGCCGAGACTCAGTAAATTAGCTACCAAGGCATTCGGAACAATCCCTGTATTCCATGAAAGACTCTGCACCCCATGAGGTTGCGGCCGCAACGAGTTATTGAAGAGAACAACAATGATCCCACACTGAATGATCGATGCATGCACATAACAGCGTCTTCATGATTGGGCTAGAGTACTGAATCGCACTCTTATCAACGAAAGAGCCGACTTGCCTCCGCAATGGGCAAGATCCGATCAACTTTGCGTCATGCGGTGGCCCGCTGCATGCCGCTGTCCACTGATCAAGGAACTCCTTCGGAACGCAACTTGTCGTGTTATACAGGAGGGGCTCGTTAAGCCCGCGAATGAGCTAGCATCGTAGGTAAGGAAAGAGAGCCGATATGCAAGTGCATATGTCGTACGTGGGAACCTCTTGACCATATGTCATGCCATGGAGGCAAATGAAATGTGTGTGGTTGAACGATCAGTCGCATCGTTCAGCAGGGAGATAATGGCTTTGCCTGCAGCCGACCGTCTTTCTTGCACCAGAAGGACCACAAGCCAGCACGAAACGAAATGCGTTCACAATCGGAAGATACTAAGGTGTGCTGATCCACTCTCATTGATGCATGTAGTCCGGCATCCAAGAAAGTCGAGCGAAGGGTGGGCATGTAGGACGTGCGGAACTTCGATTGAAGCATTACTTCGAAGATCCACTTGAGTATCCCGCCTTTGATTGTGCTTCGCTCCTACATGTCAATTCCAGCTCCGCAGCGTGCCGTTCTCCTGCCCCCTTTATCCTTACTCGCGTTCCTCGTCCTGCTACCTTTGCCCCCGCTCGCTTTCACCGAGGCGGCTGCCCGCTTGCGCTGCTTGCTCAACCGCCGCTGCGTCTGCATGTCCAGGCCGCCTGCGAGCATTAAGAAAAGCTGCTGAGATACACCAAAGTCAACAAGCGGATCACTTTTCTCGACTAAAGCCTGGAGGTGCAGCCTGCTCGTATCCCGCATCAAAAGTGAAAGGCAGCCTTTTAGGGGAAAAAAAGATGTGCTCTAATTCGTAGCAAGTTACCGTACGCCACAAGACGGTTCAACTTATAAGCTAATCTCGACTCTGCTCTGCCCTTGATGAAGCGGAGTTCGAGTGTACCGCAGTGTCTCAAAAACATCAAGCGGAGTCGTTTCTTTCCCTGACAAGTCTCAGTTTCATCGGATGCCCTGAGTCTGCCGTCTTCGAATATCAACTTACTTAACACTGTAGGAAACCAATATCAAAGGCAGCTCTGACTATTAGAAGCAGGTGGCAGAGCATTTCGCGGCACCCAATCACCATCCTTCTTGACTGAAGCAGCCGGTCAAAGAGAAAAGTCGGGCGGATCTCGTAGTCAAGGTGCGCATCTCACCTGCCGTGGACGGCGCGACGCTCGCCTCGCCTTCGCTTCCGCTCTCCGTTTCCGCTTCGCTCTGTCCACTGACGTCGGCCCTCTCGTCCGCTCCCGCCACTTGTAACCCCGCTAAGCCGCGCCCGACCTCCGGGATCCCCAAACCCTGGGGCCCGGCCGCGGCCCCGTTGGCGCCCAAACCCTCCCCGTCCTGCCGAGAGTTTTCGCCGTAACCCTCCGCCGAAACCTCCGCCTCTTTGACCGCCGTCGGAGCCCCAACCGCCCGACTCGGTCCCTCCTTCTCACGTGCCCTCGCTTTCAGCTTCGCTCGCCGCAGCGCGGCCGTGTACCGGCCCTTCTCGCCCACTTTCCGCTCGTCTTCTGCTCCGGAGTCGGTTTCGTCGCTCCCAGACGATGAAGCTTCTTCTGAGGCTGACGCCTCGCCGTCTCGATCCCCTTCCGAGAGTCCGTCAGCATGTGAACTGGTGGCCGCGTCGTCATCTCCTTCCTCTGCCGGCTCCGCTTCCGCTTGCTACAAAGAAATCAACGGGCAAGTCAAAGGTGGCCGTCAATCGCTCTGGAGCAACTTTTGGTTGGGACAGCTCGTTCTTCCTTTGAAATGTCAAAGAGAAGAAACTGCAATTCTTCCCATGAACAAGGGCAAAATAATTAAGCGATCCAGTTTTACAAGAGCACCAAGAGAAGAGATAACGGCAAGCAGCCCAACTTAAAAACCCTTGCAGAAGAACCAAAGCCGACGTTGCTGTTTTGGAAGGTCGACGCAAGTCCGCAAGAGCCGCAAAGAACGAAACAACTCTTTCTCGCATTTTTCGAACCAAACTGCCAACCTCCTGGTGGTCAAAAACCTACCCCATCGTTGAACATGCTCAAAATTTTTTTTTCGGCAAGCGACAAGAAAAGGACGGCCACTGAGAAACGACGGGCTGACAAGCAACTTCGATACAACGACCCCGAGAGTCGATGTCAAAGTGGATTTCAAGGCAGGCTCAACATTGAGAACGCGGTTGCCGCTCCCACTCACCGCCTGCTCCAGCTGCTCCTGGTTCTCTTTCGTGAACCCGCTGGCGGCCAGCTCCGTGTCCAGGTTGCGTCCGCCCACTGCCACGTCAGCAAAGCGGGGCCACTCCACGCCGGGCCCCTCGGGGGGCTCCTCCGGCACCCAGTTGAACCTGCGGACCCAAAACCACAATTCAGAGGGTGAGAGCAGTCCTTAAGAGCGACACGAGGACCATCGTTGTGTCCAGGAGCATAACAACGAAGTCTAATCTTTGTGTCTAAAGCCACCTATCGGTGGACTACTTGCACTATAGAACACCGGGGTTGAACGACCGCAACGAGCGCCAAGATTGCAGGGACCTGCAGCGACGCTCCTGCAATGTGAGACCGGCACCCGAGGCTCGGAATCTAAGAGCAGAAAGCGCATGAAGAAATCCAGTTTGGTACAGACGTAGACCAATGCTTCTGAAGACACTTCCACCAGAACCCCGTAAGCCAGAGAGGGCCAGTGGAAAGGCTGCGAACGGCGAAGAAGGGGCTGAGGTGCGTACCTCTTTCCAAAGAACTTGCGGATGCAGTTGGTGTCGCGCTCGAAGTACATTTGCGCGTTCTTGTGCGACGTGGACACCATCTGGGGGAAATCGATCATCGTGATGTTCTCCTCGTCGTCAATCTGGCACACGTGGGCAGAGCAGCGTCAGAGAGAAGACAAGAAAAAATTCCAAAAAATCAAATCATAAGGAGCAAGATTGCCTTTGTGCGCGACATCCTGCGGCATGTCCGTCCTCGTTGAGTGACAGTCGTTGCAAAATAGAGGAAGGACCTCTACACTGTGCGCAGGAACAATGTCAAGGGGCCTTCCAGGGGGCAAATAAAGGGGCGGACACGCCAACCAGATCTCTAATACGACAAATCTCTGGAAGTTGCGGAACCAGATTCTTTTCCATACGGCGATGCATTGCATGGCTGTTCGCGCCAATCGAATCGGAGGAATAGCAACAAAAACCGGCATGCTATAAGCGAGACCGGCACGGCTGGGCGCACCAGCAGGTTGAACTCGTTGAAGTCGCAGTGGATGAGGCCGTGCTCCGCCAGCTTCACGACGAGGCCCATGATGGTGGAGTACGCGCGCGAGTGGTCGTTGATCTCCTTCACTTGCACCCTGCACCGCATGATGCCATCCGCTCTCTTATATCCGTAATTGTTTGTTTTAGGTCTGATACCTGATTGAGCATTTCATCATTGACTTCCTCTTTGTTTATAGCTCCACGAGCTGCTAGAGTTGAGCGCTCTGAGCGGCTCATAGTGGGTGAGGTATCACAAACTCGGAAGTGCAAACCCAATGAGTTAGAGGCGTTTGGACGGGACCCATTTAGGAGTTTGACTTTGGTAGCTCATCGCGCCTTGTGTCAGGGAGAATACATGACGTTGTACATAATTCGCATCTCGTAGAAGAATCATTCCAATTGACTGCCACCTGTTGCTTTAGATAACGGGCATTATACTAATTCACGCTTCCGAAGATTACGTACGGTATGAGCACCCGCTAAACCCAAGCGATCAAAGATCTGTATAGGTTTGAGGTGACTGGATGCTGAGGTACTCACATTGGGTATCCAGGCACAAGGCTCATGAGCACGCAGTGACGGTTCCAGTCCACGGCTCGCGGCACCGGAAACCCGTTCTCGCCTAGGGCCTGCAAGAGGTGTGGCGGTCAGTATCAACGACACTAACGAAGAAAGGGTCTACCTTTTCATCAGACCACTTTTGCATCGCTTCATCTACCTCGGGAAACCGAACCTACAGCTCGTATTCCATCACCTTATATTCGTCAACAAGCATTTGGACAACAAACGACCAGTCCTTACAAGCCCACGCTCTCCTCAGCGAGAAAGGAGAGCAAAGTAAAGCGGGGGTGTCACTGCAAGAGCGCCTACCTTCATGAAGGCGTACTCCTTGAGTGCGGCCAGGCGGCTGAGGTAGAGCCAGCTGTAGTTCTGGCGGTGCTGCAGGTAGTCGCGCTTGCTCTTGACCGCGCGGAACGACGTGCGCCCCAGCCGGTGCAGCTTCAGCGCCATCGTCTCGCCGTTCTCGCCCACCACCTCGAATATGTCTGCACGAACAATCGGAAATGTGATTGATAATTTCCATAACACTAGGTAGGAATTGAGGTCAGGCAGTGGTTTTCCATTCACAGAGCATGCCTGCTCGTAAAAACCCGAGTCCGAAGATACAGACTGTTTTGCCTGGAGCGATTTCGCCGAGATACTCGCTGCAGGGCAGTTTGACAAAGAAATCTCCACAAGCTGACAACATGTCAAAGTCTCCTCCATTTTTGGCGCTGACTCATGCAGCGAGCTTCGCTGAAAGCCCTTCCATTCTCCAGGTTGAAGCTCTGAATTCATTCTGTATCTTGTAGGCCAGGTTCGGCTTTCTATGGTCCGGATCATTCAGTTCGCTTTTGAATGACTTGTTTGTGCAGCATTGAAACTTGCTTGTGAGCAGCCACTATTTATCATAACACCAGATTCAAGATTAAGTAGACAGCCTTCCGTGGCCTTCCAAAAAATGCTTCATGTAAACTTACCAATAAATCTTTACAAGCGCAAGCGTTGACCACATGCGCCAGTGGGGCTTGAGAAGAAAAGCATCAATTACATACACCCTTACCTGACTCTTTGCCAACTCCAATCTGCCTTCCCAGCCCCTGGATGAGACCCCTGTTCACAAGGGTCTTGATGGCCAGGTAGTCATAACCCAGGTTGGTCAAACGGTATCCATCATCTGAAAGAAGGAAGACAAATCCTTAAAATTCAAAGCTTCATCAAGAGCTGCCTGCAACCAGCCGCTAAGATTTTCCACAGAACATCTGCTGGTCCACTTGGTTACATATTTGACTCAATGCTTTCAATCATGAAAGTCTGACAAGGTACAGCAGTGTGGGCATGTGCATCAATCCTGAGGCCAAACCGCCTCAGTCATGACACATCCGAGGATCTCTGGAGCCAACTTCGTCAGAAGCCCTGTCTCACATAGCATGGCAGAAGTTCAACGCAACGACTTCAAAAAAGAAGGCCCAGGCAAGACAATGTTTTATCAAACTGTAAGCTATGTAAGCCTGATCTTCAATCCAGTATTTTCCAAACAGATAAACATTGCTCACACTGCTTCGACTCGTGGTGCACCAGCTTGTGCCTCAGCAGCGTGCGCATGTTCTTAAAAGCGCCCCCCCGCTTAAGCCCCGCAATCCTGTCCACCAGCTCTGATGGCACAATTTCATGCTGCACCACCACAATGCTGAGGTCAGTGCAGAACATGAAAGGAACCGTGAGATTAATCAGGAATCATGGCAGTTACCCCCGATTCGTTCTACTTTACAAACAACTGCAACTGAAAACTTGAAAGGACAGAGGGCACAAGCGGGTTTAGATCAGACGCTCCAATTACGACCACCGCAGTGGCCATTTTTTGTGCTTCTCGAGCTGCCCACAACGTCCAAGGAGCACTCAGCTCATCAGCAGCTGAGTCGTTCAACAAGATTGCCACTTTGTCGACAATTTTCCATCGCAAGTATCCGCAAAGTACTCACACAACCGTCTTAAGGTGGCAAGGGGTGGCAAGGCAAACCCTCATTGCAGGTTCCAAGTCCTGACCACACAATGGACCTGTTCCAAGAATCTTTCGTGCAAACTGCGCAACTTCCCCATAACTTCTCTGACTGATAACTGCAACACGATTACGATGGACACTGATGTTCGCTTTTAGAACCATGTTAAAGTGTTTGCACCAACATCTTCAAACTTTCCAATGTCCCCTGTCTTCATTGGTCCAGGGACTTGGGTGGTGCACAAAAGAAAAGTGTGCTCACGTTCTTTTGCCCCATTTCTACCGCAGTGAGAACTCGGAATTCCTCCTTGGTCATGTACCGAAGCACATTGACATCGAGCTTCATCTTTCCTATCCACTCAAAAGAATCTACAGATCAGAACCTCTGCTGCAATCCAACCAAGCTGACAGACACCTGAGCTGAGGTGATAGCCTTATCCAGTGCGCTGCCAGTGCAAGCCAGCTAGCAAATTGTTCTCCAGCTGCGCCTTCCGACACAAGACCAGATCTGCCGCACTGAGTCTGAAGTGCGCAGCATTAATAAGGTAGCCTGCAGGTGCAGCAACCATTGCCATCCTCGCACAGACCATTACCACATTATGGGCTTCGCAAACAACAGCCATATTCACCGGCGCGCGGCGGGAGTTGGGGAGCAAAAGCAGATGTCCTCGGCCCTGTGCACTGGGGGCCCATTTGTCTGAGAACGGAACCCAATGAACGCCCGGTAACATGCTAACCGGGCGCGGAGCTACTGCTCCCCGACACAGCGTATTAGCAAGTGAGCTCTATCGGACGGCTTAAAAACGCCCCTGGTAGGAACTAATCGAACTGTGATTGGCCAATGGACTGCATCGACGGCTGTCGATTAGGTGCTATTCTGTCGCATGCTGCTTTGGATGCATCAGGCGGCCACGACGCACGTCTTCTTCCCTGCGCTGACAGCAGCTGCAGTGGCAGTGACACTGACTTTCTTCGCTCTTCTGCGAGAAACTGAAAGTGAAGCTTGGAGTTCCCATGGTGCAGTGGTGCGTTCAATCCGTCGGTGCAAGTTCTTCCGTTCGTGCTTCTTCCCGCTTATGATAGAGGTCAGCCAGACGGCACCCGTACTGTGCGTTCAGCGCCTGTACGTGCTTGCTGCGCTTATAACAAGAAGACAATGCTGAAGGACTTGTAAGGAACACCATCAATCATCTATCTGGCGCTCCGCCAAGGAAGTGTTTCGTGCATTCTTGGAACCAACATGGCCTCGACAGCCATCGCACGTTTTAAATGTGGTTCACTTGGGCCCTCTGTCTTGCTCAAACCGTCCAAGCAACCGGCTGCCACTCAAAGGCGTCACCTGGTGGCTGCAAGCCTACACCCACCTCCAAGCCTCTGCCGTCACTGGTCGTCAGCAGGTGATAAGTATACATCATCAGGGCAGCATTTTGCATCACCAATTAGTGCAGATAGTACTAATAGAATAAATGTTTTGAGAAGCCAAAGCACCAGTTTGACAGGTTCAAAAGGGAAAAGGGGGCTGGCAGTGCGAGCCAACCGGACGGATCAAGTGCAGGAGGCGAGCACTGTGCCGGACGCTCTGGCCGCTCAGAGTGGCGCCCTTGCTGACGGCCTGGTGGGAGAGGATGCGGGGGTGTTCGACGTGACGGCACAGAAGACATCGTCCTGGGTTAATTTCACCATCGTTTTAGCTGTAGTGCTGGCCATCCTGTATGTGGTGTGGATAGACCCCACTACTGGCTTTGGCGGGAAGTACATTGATGCATTGGAAGGAGCAGTAGGAGGAAGCCATGAGGTAAACGCTCACCAATACTCCGTGCCTAGATGGCAAGTTCCCAAAGCGATGATTTGAAGTCGTAGTCTTAAGAAAACAGTGGGACTCATAGGTTTTTGTACTGATCACATTCTGACGAGCATGTGCGTGCATCATCCATCGAGCCTGCTGTTTCTAAAGCAGTTTAGTTTTGTGCTTGCCTTGTGAACTATCGTTGTTCGGATCATATCCGAATGCCCCTCCGTCCAAGACAATTCTGAAGTGCATATCCCAGGCGGGGCTTGCGATTGTTCATCCAGTCTATTATCTGTGCAACAAGAAGATCATATCAAAAACACCGCCTTTCTGCAGGCTACTATCATAGCACTCCTCTCAATCTTTGCCCTAGTACATAGCGGGGGGGCCGCACTTAGAGCAAAAGCAGAGGATATCATTGGGGCACGCGCGTACAGGGTACTCTTTGCCGGCCTGTCGCTTCCGCTGGCAGTCTCCTCGGTTGTCTACTTTATAAACCATCGGTATGATGGAACACAGCTTTGGCAGGTGAGGCTTCTGTCTTACTGCCTGGAATTGTGGATGCTCGCTGTCAACTAGGACTGACTCTATTGATTGTTGGATTGTAGGATGTAGGATGCTCTTCTTATAAAGATCCCAGGACGTGCAGGTCACTCCCTACTGATGTTGGGTGTTACATTTCGATCATATGCAGCTCCACCGCGTTAGGCAACATGTGTGAGAGCCTTAAGTACAAGGAGTGCGTTCTGTCCCTAATGTCCATCCGTAATTTACTTCAGCTTCAATTACGTATCAGACCAGGACTTGAACGACCATAACAAGTTGAATGGCCTGAACCGATGATTGATAGCTCCAATTACGGAGTCTCCCACTGGCTCTTTAATTGATAAAGCGACCCTGACAAACGGCATGACCCATCTTTCTCTCTATTCAGGCGTTCTGGGTGCTGAAGCGTCTGAAATGACCGCGCTGATCTTCATCCCACATCTTGAACCTTTGGTCTTTGTGAATCATACTTTTGTTGCTCTCGTTGGCAGCTGCGCACAGTCCCGGGGGCTCACGAGCTGGTGTGGATTGTGTCCTTCATCTCGTTTTTCTTTCTGTACCCCTCCACCTTCAACCTGCTCGAGGTAGCTGCAGTAGACAAGCCCAAGTTGCACATGTGGGAGACCGGCATCCTCAGGATTACCCGTCACCCCCAGGTTAGCGAGCTGGTCGAACTTTGGTTGATCCTCATGAGCTTGTTTTGTTCATATCCATTCCTCTTGATCATTTTTGATCTCGTCATTGTAGACATTAACATTTAACTTCCAGTATTAAGATACTTCGACGATTGCTAGAATCCGTCCACGATCAACTGTCGAGCTCTGTACGCCGTTGTTAGTCAAAACCTTGCTTTTTCGGTCTTGAGGTTGAACCCGCCGAATCGTTCCGTTCTGTTTTGAGGGGTAAGGGTGACTGCGGATATTGGTCGAGGGTAACAATTATAAAGCAGCTTGCACACCCTCTGGTAGCTGGATCTAGCCCTTGATCTTCTTAAGCTTGGCTCTATTGATACCGGTGCCCTTTCGGATGGTCCACATCTTTGCGTTCCTGCCGTTTCGAAGTCGTGTTCTCTGTTCTCCGGCAACATCGTCTGCCCGAATCCATACTGCTCTATCTGCTGCGCTCCGTTCAGATCGCTCCGTCTGCTTAAATCCAGCCTCCCGTAATTCCTCTCTCACCCCCCTTCGCTGGTGCCATTCCTCCAGATGACGGGCCAGCTTTTGTGGTGTCTGGCCCACACTCTGTGGATCGGCAACTCCTTCACGCTCGTCACCTCTCTCGGGCTCTGTGCGCACCACCTATTCGGAGTTTGGCACGGGGACCAACGGCTAGAAGCCAAGTACGGGGACGCTTTCCGAACGGTCAAGGCGCGCACAAGCGTTGTGCCCTTCCAGGCAATCATAGAGGGCCGCCAGAAGCTCCCACAGGATTGGTACAAAGAGTACCTTCGGGTGCCGTACTTTGTTATCGTCGGGTTTACGCTCGGGGCGTACTTTAGCCACCCTCTGATGCAGCAAGGGAGCTTCTGGCTGCACTGGTAGTATGCGGCCGCGGAAACTCGATGTATTGGTTGCCGCTGAGTTACGCCGCCTTTGCAGCCAAGGTTAAGGGGACACTATTGTTCGTTTTCGCCTCGGAGACTAGATCAACCTGTTGGCAACGACAGATTGTGGTCCCCAAGATCCATCTGGGTCATGCAGTGTGCCTTCTCGGCAGCTTTCGAGTGTCCGAGTTGACAAATGCAATCGTTTTGTGAGGTTAAGGTTCCTCTAGACTCGATCATGCTATACAAAGAGACGAGCCGCCTTCGGCTTGTACACTCGATGATAGTACGTCGGAATGTACTCACATGCGTTAGGTCGAGGATTATCATGTATACCGTCATGACTGAATACTGCCGCTGAGCACCATTGCAATCAAGCTCGCCGTTGCATGTTTGATCAGCGCTAAGGACTTGGATCGTACATGCATCTGCAAACACCGACGGTCGGACTCCAACTTGGATCATCGACTGTATCTAGATTACCTATGTCGCTGTGTAAAGTGACTTGCGGCCGGGAGGATATCAACCGCGGCAACCGTCGCTTGTGCACATTACCAGCCTAGGCTGGTATTGTGCTGCTTATCCAGCTTGATGGCAACCGTTGTCAGCTCATGGACCACGGGTTGAAATGGGCCCCTTGAATACACGTTTCTCAAGATTAGTCAGACAGCAGGCCGTGCAACTTAGAACTGTACGAGAGGCTCAGACCGACCATGCATGCAATGATTATGGCAATCCTCCTGATTGGACTTCTATTTCCTCAAGATTCGTATGTGTTCTACGGTCTGAACAACGTCTTCCAATAAATCCTAAAATAATTGACATAGTGAATCAAGGGGTTCCGCGTGTAACTGAATACTTCCAACATTCAATGGGGTCAACATTTGTCCATGATACATCGGTCTCTCCGCCCTGGCTCGCGCTTGCGCATTTGCGCAGAGTACAAAGAATTTACCATCCGAATGGTTGTCACAACCTTGCCTTCTCATCTGCCTCGCTCGCCGTCTTGGGCGTCTTTTGCTCCTCCTTGGGAGGTCTAGGGATGTTGTAGTACTCTGTCGTCCGCCCGTACGATACACCGCCCAGCCTCGAAACAGGAGAGTACTTCTTGAGGTCGACAACGTCGTGGCCGGAGTGCGGCGATTTTGTGGCGACCTCCTCGTGCATGTGCGCTAGGAGCACCTCGCCCACGACGATCATACCGGTCGCCTTGCCCGTACTGTTTGATGGAAAAGAGGAGCAAACGGTGGTCAGAAACGCCGTCCGTTGGGGACCCGACGTTCCGCAGCGTCCTGGGGTGTGAGTGGAACAGGAGTGCAACACAAAGGCTCCACTGTTAGCAGCCGACTCAATTCCTCGCAGAGATAGGAGACAATTCGACGTTCGAGTAGAAAGTATGAAGGGCTTTTCCGGACAAAGTCAAGCTTGAGCTTTCATCTCCTAGACGTAAAGTCTCAACCTGATCGACGGGCTCAAAAGGTGAACTTCGCATTTCGGGTGTAGGACGGCGGCAATGGCTTCGCTGGACGAAACTCCTTTCATTAGCCAGGGCGTCCGGTCTGGAGAGCTCTAGAAGATATCTAATCGTCAACCGGAGGCAAAAGGACAGGAAAAACTGCAGGCTCTTGGATAAGGGTACAATCTGCACATGCAGTCCTGATAAAGCCGCAACTTTGTCCCTTTTACCATGCACAGCAGAACCGTCTTCCGGTGTCACACCGCTCAAAAACAAGCGCGCACAACCAGCTGAAACAGTGGACGAACGAAACGACGCTTCTTTGGTGACAGGCGGAAAGTGGCCAGTAAGCGCAACCCTTTGTCGAAAGGACAATCCTACGGAGCGGCCAAGATACGGTCGAGCCTACCATTGAACGGCGACTCGCTTATTTGAAGCCAGAACGCGACGTCACCGTCCAAGTCGGTCGGCTGACTCTTTTACAGAATCACGACCTAAAGGAGCCGGCGACATTCTTCCAACGAAGGAAGTTGATCAAACTCTGGGAGTGCAACGATCTGACCGGAGAGAACAGCTCCATCAACTCATAAGGTGTGGAGCCGCACAAGACTGGTGTAAACTAGTTATGACTTCTCACGCCGTCTCCTCTTGTGCTGCCAGTGAGAACGACTGTTCTCGAAACCTGACTGAAGTAGACTAAAAGGCCGCACAAACGTGGTCAAGCCCTTTGCTTAGATCACCTAGGTGGCTACCAGATGACGATTGACCTGACATGACCATCGACTTGAGAGTTGTTCCGACCAGCTGAGATCCTGAAACGAAGGTAGAGCGCCCCTCGACTCAGTTTGCAGGTCAGGACAGAAGTTGGTAAACGATAGGAGGCGGTGTGTCGAAGAAACCTACTGGTTCTTGATCTCGTAGGAATGAACCAGCTTGCACTCGAAATGCACCGCCGACTCCTTCACTCGGGGTGGCTTCACCTGCAGGTTTTGGGAGGCTAGACTCAGAGGACTCACAAATACTCCCTTTCAAAGAAAACCTGAGGTCAGCTTCCTCAAAAGTGACGTCGGATCATTGGCTACAGCGCCCTACTGAAGAAGGTTCGAAGCATTTGAGCAGAATATGTTCCATCGTGAGGGCAGTAGCCCGCTGATGGATTACATACGAGACGACGATGCTAGGAGAGATCAGAAGTGTGTTGATCGACCTCCTAGAATTGTGTTCGACCAAAACAACCAGATTCGTGACTACCAGAAGCTGCTTGCCAAGATAGTCATCACACAGCTCGCGGGTGCACCACCTTTTTATCTTCGTCGAACTTCAGAAAGCTGGGACCATTACAGCATGGTTTGAAGGGAACGATCTTTTGTGAAGTAAGGGCAGTACCTTGACTGACTCCATGGGCGTCAGGCCAGACAGTGTCATCTCGTTTATGCCCCGGTCGTACGGCCCGCACGTGAAGTTGGCAGCCTCCACGTACCATTCGTTCATGATGTTCACGACAAATTCCCTGCGGTTTGGTGCGGAAGGCATTCAGCAAGCCCAGTGAAGGCAGAACAGCTCTCCAAAGGTATGCAGCTAACAGCTCATGCCCTGACAATCCAGGTCATGATGCACCTATGAGTGCTCCTGATTGAAAACAATCATCAAACACATGCAGAAGGGACTTTCAGGCCGCTTCGACAGCAAAGAACCTTCAAGCTCAGCCTGGCTTTGAAATGACTGACTCCTTACAGCGAGTTTCCGAGCCTACACACGCAAAGTAGTCTGTTCTCCATCACCACTGAATAAGCGAGGCGCCGCTACTTACCCTGTCTCCAGAATGTTCGCAAGCGTATCCTTCTTTCCCCCTGTGTCCTTCTTCGCTGAGCTGTACGAGTGTCCAATGACCACCATCGGCGGATCATGTGACATGGCGTTGAAGTAACTGTAGGGGGACAGATTCCCTGCGCCGTTCTTGCTCAGAGAAGAGACGAAAGCAACGGGCCGCGGCACGACCGCGCTGATCATGAACGGGTACATCGCATCACCCAGCTCAGCAGGGTTCAGAGCTAAGTACTTGTCACTAGTAAAGGGCGATGGCTGCTTGTCCCCAGGTTTGTAATCAGGGTGCAACGTTGAAACCTCTTCGATCTGGTTTCTGTGGCCGAGTATGCGCCGACTCCATGTCGGATTTCGGAGAAGGGAAACCAAGATTCCTGATGCGCCCAGCGCCCCAGCTGCGAAGGCTGTCAGGATGTTGCCTTGGACCGCCATTTGGACACCTCTCAGCTTGCCGGTAGATCGGCGCTTCCCAAGGGCAGCCTTCCTCAAAACAAGCTCAGCTTGGTTTCCAGATTGAACCCAGGAGGGCCTTGTAAGACGATGTGCAAGGACTGTTGGAGAATAAACACCCTGCTTTGATTGACTCTGACGACTGACACGGAACTGAATAGACTTATTGGACAAGGACTTGGCAGCAGCTAGTTCCATGCCACATACTTCACTGGAAAATATGCAGATGAAGAACCAAATTTGAATCAGACTACAGTTCTTTCCCAGAACGATACTTCAGCTTCACTGCTGCACTTCTTGCTCCCTGCATGCATCAGCTAGCTGTCAATGTATCTACAAGACGATCGGAACAGCTTTGGATTCTAGTGGAGAAGGGCGGTCGTTGGCAGCTTGTTGAAGTTGTTCTTCCCAGCACCGTCTGTCAAGACATTGTTTTGCAGGCGCCACCATGCACTAGGTATCCAGCTCCGCTGCTGCCCCAGCCCAGCCCAGACCTCCATATTGCAATATATATCTAATATGTTGTGCCAAGAAAATATTTTTTCAATACACAAAATTTTCAATTCCTTAACACGCTTTAGAACCGGCAGCGAAACGGTGCAGGCCAAGTTCCAGGCATTCTTCATCCCGGTACGTCTCGCTGGAGTGACGGTTCTTTTACATCCAACAAAGAAAGAGAAAAGACGAGAAAAGAATTTCAAAGAGATCCTTTCAGGTTTCACCTTTTACTATTAGATAGTGGGAAAAGGGTATACCGGTATGTAAAATTCAAACTTTCCTTAGCCGTGTCAGCATCTCCTTTCAATGTTTCATGAGAGTGCCCGATCGTGCTCTGTTGCCAGTGTTGGACGAGCTCTTCTTCCAGAGAGTTTTCTAGCTTAGCCGCCTCTCCTTTCTGTTAAGGCCTTGCTGGCTGAGCAAGCAACATTTCCTAATCGGCGCTGGTGTCGGATAATAATCAGTACGGACTGGGGCCCGAAGGGTGGAATTCAAGGGACTGGATAATGGCAGACCATGACGATGATCTTCATCAGTTGCTCGACAGTAAGTTCGTCATTGCTATCCAGACGACAATCTGTGAGGTTTATTCCTTGCTGCATCGTTTGATACATAGTGTATCTGCTCTGCATCTCCGCACCCCATTACAAAGCTTTGCTTTGCACCTCGGAGCACCAGCAGTACTCGTACCAAAATAGCGTTCAAATGCCTCCGCTGACTTTGTACGAAGATCATATGGTCAGCATGAACTCTGACTGCCATTGCAGGCGCGCTGGACGGCTTCACCAAAGTGGACTCAAGAGCAGCAGCCTCGGGCAGAAAAGATCTTCCTCTGAGAGGTGACGCAGCAGTGGCATCTACGTGAGTATCACGCTGTCCTTGATAATCATTTTGCAGTATGCTTGAACAGTGTGGAGACTACCTGCCGGTCATTGATTCTTTTCCACCTGCCCATGCCCAGTTGTTGAACCGATGCAACTGTCATCTTACGGTTTGGCAGGAACTTTCAAGCTGGATTAGCAGTGGCAAAAGGTATAACCGACGATACACAGAAGAGGATGACTATGTTGCAGATCATCTGCTGCATACGAACTCAATGCCAAGCAGAAAGAGAAGCAAGCTGTGCAAGGCCTGGGGTCCGGAGTTGGACTACGCCAGAAGAAGAGTGGTGAGCATGGGATTAGGCTGCGAAGTGTGCTTCTCGCTGTTTTTTAAAAATGGTACATGAAGACCTTGTGTATAAGTCTATCTAGATTCATCATGTCAAAGGGATTGGTTGCTTATTGCCCAATCGCTTAGGTTCTGTGTCCTGCCTAGGATATTCCCCTCAGCTCCATCAGCATTTTGCATGCCTTCTTGTTTATGATTCTGAAGATATCAGACCTGCTAGTTTTGCAAGCTCCATATTAATGATGTATAAGCACTTTGAGTCTACAAAAACTAACTTCTCCTTGCAGGAAAAGGCTCAGGGAAGAAGGCGGCTCCAGCCGGTGCTTCATCCAGTAAGTCTGAGGGCTCAGAGAGTGGACGAAGAGCGCGGGGTTCGGAAGCGGGCAAGACAGTGGAGGCCCTTCATGAGCAGACTCGGCAGACAGTAGAGGTATGAAACTGCTCTAGGTCTATCAATTGAGAAGGCGCAGTTGTTGGCAGTAAGAAAAGATACAGTTGAGCAGCAACTGGTATGACCAGACAAAAGGTATCGGATGCAGGCCACCACTGCTTTGACATCATTGTCATATGACGATCTCTCACAGGAATTCATTTTCCTTCCTTGCAGGGCATGGATCCTGGTGGCGCAGAAAACTTGGATGAGTTGATGGCGCAGCTGCAACAGATGGCAGGAGGCGAGGCAAGGCACTTCTGACTTCCTTAAGAGCAACTTACGCCTTCGAGAACGGGCTGGTTATTGGTTGTTGGTTGTTGCTTCGGCCCTGCTGAGAGCAAGAAAGATCGAAGTGATTGTACTGCTGGCTTGCCTCACGGAAATCTTCGTGACGTCCTTACAGAAAACCATGTCGTTTGCTACCCGCACTAGAAGTATGGCAATCCAAATCTCGTACAAGGGAAAGCAATCTTGAATTTGCGTGATACTCAACTCCGAGTTTGATGGCTTTGCTGCAGGATATGCAATCGCTGATGGATAACATGATGAAGCAACTGCTGTCGAAAGATGTGCTCTATGAGCCTATGAAGGAGATAGGGCGGCGGGTAAGATGGAGACCTGCATCAACTCGATTCTTCCGACTCTTCCTTTGTCGAGACAGTCGGCACTTGCTGCTCGTATGTAAGAAGTAGAGTACTGCGCCCCAAAGAAATCGCCGACCAGATAGCGGAACCTCTTGTAGGGAAGAATGGTTCCAAATGTTTTGGTTCAAACAGGGCACTTGAGTGGTGGACTGTTGAGCATCTTGTGTACTTTGGTTGCTTCGTCTTGGTCCCTGCACTGCTTTGTCTTCGTTCCGCTTAAGACTTGCTGATCAAGAATTGTCATCACGTCTGCAGTATCCTACCTGGCTTCAAGAAAACGATGCGAAGCTCAGTACGGAAGACAAGGCACGGTACGGAAAGCAGTACCAGTACATTCAACGGGTGAGTCTGACAATGTCTTCCGTACCTTCAAGTGCGGCTTTTTCGAAAGTGGCAGACGACACGGCTCTCGTTCAACGCTATGTCGCCTAGTGAACCAGGAGCCTTAGTAATTTGACTTTTCATCGAGACCTTTGAGCTGTCTTAGTGGCAGCTTTTTTAACTCCGAGCCGAATCAGAGCGAAAGGCCGGTCGTTGTTGGCTTTGCCTTCTACAGGTGCGAAAATCCCAGCTGTCTAACTTACTGCTATTCGTCTGTTGCAGCTTCTCCATGTCTACGAAAACGACCCGGATAACTTCGAGCAGGTTACCGCTCTTATGCAAGAGGTAGGGCCGTCTTAGAATCTTCTCCGACCAGCTCTGCAGTTTCCCAATGCTTTCCGCTACGAGCTTCGACGAGATGATTTTGTAGCTATTTTCGCTTCATCTTCTTTGCTCGGTAGCGTTTTGCAGATCAGATGGGGTAAGCAGCTGCGAGACTGACTGCGTGGGTGCTCTTCTGTGTGCAGATGCAAGAGTGTGGACATCCACCTGATGAGATCATTCAGGAGCTGGCACCAGGAGTGGTTTTTGGGGAGGACGGGATGCCATCGTGAGTTGAAAAGTTATTGTTTTACGAGGCTGTGCTTCGTTTCGAAATTGTTTGGAAAGCGTCCTATGACAGGCGCTCCTGCTTCGCTTCCTCGCTGCTTCTGTATTTTAGAGAGTGCGGGGGTTCATCTGAACATTGCTGAGATGCAGATTAGAAGGTAGCCGCGCATTTACACCTCACTCTGATCTGGTTCTGATGATCGGGGTTTGTTTGGCATCGAACCTTTGTTGAAAGTTTTTTCCTTGTGCTGTGCCCAAGCTTTTGAACAACTGAAGAACATGCACCGCCAAAAGTGTTGATCTATCTTTGATGGGCTTTGCAAAAGTTGATCGGGTAAATGTGCAGATTGCCGGATCTTCTGGGCGCTGGCACGGGAGGTTCTGGGCCGGGTGGTCAACCAGACTGCTCAATCATGTAGATAGACATGAATATCGCTCATCTCAAAACTTGTGGAGTCCTGGTGTCAATTTATATGGTTCGTAAAGTCGCTTCCGCACAGCTTCATGCCAACACTTGAAGTGGAAACTTTGTCTTTCTCACAATTTGATCCAAAGCAAGCCTTGAACTAAACATAAAGAAGTCGATCCACCTCCTGCAAATAGCTTCTTATGCATGATGCCATCATGTCATGTGCTCTCGCTCAAATACGTTTCCATGTACCTATAAGCTTTACTCTGAACTCCTTCTTAAGCATCCTACGCTTGTAGCATCTGCTGGCCAGCTGCCAATGGAAATTAGAAGTTAGGATCGATATTGTGACAGAGCATCAACTCTGAACCGAGGCCGGGGCCAGCATGCGTGCATGGGACAAGGATGAGCCAGGCCGGTTGAAGATGTGATGTGCATAGGCTATAGCTCGAGCCTGGCGGATAAAATCAGGGCTGCGACAAGAAAATATGCCAAGCAGATATTCTGGCATTCGAGCATCTAAGTGCCCGGTGCCCAAGCACTGGGCTCCTCGATGCCGTTTATTGCTACTTCGCCTGAGTTGTCAATATTTGTATGGGCCCCGGTTCATACAACTCCGAGACCAAAAGCTTATATAAGCAGTCCGCACTCGAGAGTCGAAGCGCGGTGCATTCTGGAACAGAGCACCACTTTCCTCGACAGATGATGGAAAGAAAGACGGACAAAGGAATTTGCAGATTTCAATTCAGCTGAGCAGCTTCGCCTGGCAGTGGCAATCAAGCACTTAGTACTTGGGGAGGCGCAGATTGAGAGAGCAGCCAATTGTTGCACGTGAGGCTGATCTGCAATTTGTTCATAATACAAGACCGAATACCAAGCCTAAGGGGCAGACCTCTCATTCAGCACATTGCAAGGAGATTGTCGGGCCAAAACAACCCGATAGAAGGGATCAAAAGGTGGACATTGGAACAGAATTAAAGCAGAATCTCACAGCGACCATCCAGGATCTGCCACGATGAATGACGCCGATGTATCCAAGCAGATCCAGCAGATGGTGCAATTCATAAAACAGGAAGCAGAGGAAAAGGCCAATGAGATCGCGGTTGCAACAGAAGAGGTTAGTTCCAAAAATTCCGATTGCAAACAGCCGGACTGGACGTATATTGAGCCTGTGCTTGAGGTCATTCTACATTCTTCCATAGATAGGTTGCTTGATTGGAAGCTCTTTTAGAAGGCTCTTACCTGATCAGGACAGAATACGGTAGATTGCCTTTCTTATACAGCCTTCCACTTGGTGGATTCTGTTGCTTGTTGAGCCCTGCGCAATTTCCGGCGAGCCTTGCCAACCCTAACAGCTTGAGCAGAGGTGCTCCCAGATTCGAAGGGGTTTATGGACTTGCTGGGCTTGGAGTAACTCTGAGCTCTCACAAATCAACAGGGCCTGATTATGTCCTTTCACTTGAAGGGAGAATTGCTGCCTCGCCGTTTGGTTTGCAAACAGATCAGAATGCAGCATTGATGCAGATATTCTGCAATACTCATCTGCTTGCTCCGAAGGCTCCAATTATTCTGCCCCTTGCACTTGTAGGGCATCATTGGATATCCATATGCAAAGCGAATGGGCTCTTTTTCCTAACATCAGGGAAGATGCTTGCTGCATGAAGTTGTTGTCCTGCAGTATGAATGAGCTGACTGCTTGAGCTGTTCTTTGACTGCCAACGAGCCATGCGCAGACGGCAGACATCTTTCAATCAATGTACCTTTTGCAGGAATTCAACATCGAGAAATTGCAGCTGGTAGAAGCAGAAAAAGCAAAGATCCGCAAGGAGTATGAGCGGAAGGAGAAGCAAGTGGAGACCAAGAAGAAGATTGAGTACTCCACACAGCTGAATGCTGCTCGCCTGAGGCTCCTCCAGGCACAGGACGACATTGTGAAATCTGTCAAGGAACAGGCTGATAAGCAGCTGGCTACAGTTGGAACAGGCGACTCGTACAAGAATCTGCTGCAAGGGCTTATTCTGCAGGCAAGTCAAATCCAATGAGGGGCTGCAAAGGCCAATCCAGCCTGAGAGGGTACTAGCTGAATTGACAAACGAAAGGTTTCTACTTTCATATCATTCAGATATGTGATGAGCAGACCAGGGGCAGCTTTTAAGTCAACCTTGCTAGGCGTCCCCTTTTTGAGCAGAATTTTTGGCCCTTGCATCTGCAGATCAGCGGGCCCTGTCAGTGGTGCATCTTTTGTAGTCAGAGACCCAACACTATGAGTGTGTCCGCTGCGCCATCAACTTGCATTCTTATGTTCAGGGGCTGCTGAGGCTAGAGGAGGAGTCCGTACAACTTCGTTGTCGTGAAGCTGACCTGAAGGTAGTTCAGGTATGGTTTCAAAGGTCTTCGCATCTTGGGACGTGGTTTGCTGCCCTGCACTCCTACTGAAAGCCTTCTGCTATGCTTGTATGCAAACAAGGTGTTGTCTTGTTGGGAACACACAATGCATCGAACTTGAATTTGCGGCCCTGAAGAGTTCTGTCACCAGGTCTGACACTGCTCTCGTCCTGGTGTCCAGTCTGTCCTCGACCCGGCAAAGAAGGCTTATGCGGAGAAGACCGGGAAGAAGGCCACCAGCATCAACGTGGATTCAAGCACGTTCCTCCCACCGGCCCCGAAGTCTGGGAGTCATGATCCCGCTTGCAGTGGCGGAATTGTGATTGCCTCGAAGGACGGGAAGATTGTTTGCAACAACACGCTGGATGCCAGGCTCGAGATCTCTTTCAACCAGAACCTGCCAGCCATCAGGAAGGCTATGTTTGGAGGACACGAGCGCGCTTGAGCATGGCACTCGTATTCCAGGTAAAGCTTGACAGTTGGGCTGCCTGAGCAGGCAGTAACTGACAAGGTGACCAACAATTCTTGCTAGAGCCTCTAGCTTGTCGTACATACTCAAAGTTTCCAGGAACAGTGCCTGCTCTAACGTTCAAGATGGGTGGCAGAATCGTATAGTCTACGTGTTGGTCCTTCCTTCAGATCCTTAAGAATATCCTATGTGAAACTAAGACGAGAGTACTTAACGACCAACAAGGAGGTTCATTCTCGCTATTGCTTGTTTCATACACCTTACAAATGTTTCTTTGATCTCTCTTCTTGCTGGAATTCGGACATTAACCACAAGAGCGAGATGGAAGACATTCCCATGAGGATTGGCGGTCAGACCAATTTCTGACTCTGCAGCCGGTCCTCTTCAAACATGCATTATTGTCCTCTACCTGCACAATACTCAAGAGCATGTGACGAAGATGCAATCGACTATGATGTTCTCTTGTCAAACGCCGTAGCCACATGGGCCATAGCTTCCATGGCATACATGGGAATTAATGTTTGAGTTTTGAACGCCTACGTACCCTACCGAACCTGACTTGTGCATGCTCCCCTAGTCCAACCTAGCCTGGCAACAGCCTGTCAACGTCGTAGCATTTAGCGAACTTACCACGCGAGTGAGATTACTATACACTATCGTAGCAACAGACTATAGCCTAGCAATGATACTTTCTTTCCTTTACCTGCACACACGGTTTACTACATGAAAAAAGACGAGATTGCCTGATTTGCTCCTCTCTCGGCTGTGCGTCACGCGTGGTCATGCAAGACTTCTGTAAATCGACAACGTGCAAGTGGTGACGTACCCCGCGCGAGACATGCGTCTCAACTTACATGAAGATTTGGATAATGCCATAAACTATATGCAATTGTACGGCGACATCACATAATGGCGACAATTGTGCCAACTGCATTCAACATACTCCATATGCGTCTCACTGTATGTTCGGTATTAAAGCTAGGTGCCTCGATTGTTGGCTTCGCTGCTTGCAAGAATCATGCAAATCGTTTACCGGTACGTATTCTCAACCTTGTGTGATCTACGGATGTACCGGAAACGATCGCTAATCATTGGCCCAGGTCGATCTGGGACAATAAATGTGTAAATAATCTCTTTGATAGGTATTCGCACCTAGTTACGTAGGTAATCAGATCGCCTATCCACTTGGATTCCAACTAGCAGCCCCCATGCGTCTCTAAGTAAGCAACATGCTATCCAATCACCAATAGATATGTCTGATGGGGGCCGGGCTGACATGCATGTTGTGTACTTGAATAGCTGATGCAGTAAGAACCAAGCCGGATATGTTGAGGCTGTGCATTTTCAAAGGAACTGCCAGCATCGACCTTGTCTCAAGTGCCACTATTTACGCAACCATGCCAGCATCAACCTCCTTTCCGATGAAAGGCTTTGACGCAAACTCCTCCTCCTCCTTCGGCTTATGGACAGTGACCACATCAGGCAGCGGCTTGGACGGCCCTTGCTTGCCCTTGGGATCCCAGTCGAGCATGATCTTGACCTTGATACCCAAGACGCCCTGCCTCAACAGCACGTGCCGCACAGCAGCGTCGATGTAGTCCTGCAAGACAAGCAAAGCAAACATTTAGTCAGAACTGAAAGAGGAAGCCAGCGTGATCCGACCGGAAGAGGACAGAATATTAGCTGGAAGGGCCTGAGCACAATTCCGGACCCTAATAGACGACCTCGTGAAGTGCACCATTGTGAAAACCTCAAGGTCAATCCCGTGAATCCAGAAAGAAAGGATGAATGAAGGTCTGCATAACACCATCAAGCTAGAAGCAATCAATGTACTGTAGGTACGATCTGAGAGTCGGAAGAGCCCAACTCACGTTTACTGGGCTTCCGGAAGAGATCATGTACCCGTCCTTGAACTTCATGGCCTTGGCACGCTGTGCTCTAAGCTTGCCGCTGACAATAACCTGCACGTGCAAATAGGATCCGTTCAACTGAGGTCAAAGTTCTTCTTCCAGCTTGCAGGGAAACCGTCAGCGAAGAAGTCAGTTTCACTTCCACAGCAAATGTGGCAATAAATCCAGAACCAGCCGTCTCTAACCTTGTCTAACCTTGGGGGCCAGGCAAACAAGACCACTGTAAGCCAGTCTGCCTGTGATATGTAGACTTCCACAGAAGAGCGAAGGGCGGAACTGAGTGCAACTCTGTGCATTTGATATGGGGACAGTCAGCTCTCTTTGTTCCTACTCCAGGAAGCCCCAACGACAAAGTACCATATCTGACACTTCCGTAACCCCTCTGACACTTGTACACGTTCTATTTGCTCGCTGAATTGATGACATCCTCAAAACAATTCCTTCAAGTGCAGCAGCCCTGCCCAAGCTGCCAAAAAGATTCCTGGAATAGATGCCTTTCAATGTGCCAAAAGATTTACAGTTCTACTGCATTTCAGGAACGTCACTCTCCTGCAGTGGCTACCGACATGCTGCAAGTCTCCTCTCCATCGTTTTCCCCACTGATCCAGAGGCAAAGACCCCCGGCGCAAAGTGCACCTTTTTAACAAAGCCGAACTACCTACCCCCCAACCAGCCTGCAGATGCTCTCCGTCGCACAACCCAAACTTGCCCCCGAAAGCCCGATGCCAGTCAGCACTTACCCCCCTCCCAAACAAAAGATGCTCCCCTAACAGAAGCAGACTGCACCTTTCTCAACAAAAATTACTCTCATGAGTTTGTCGCTCACCTCGCAGCCCTTGGCCCCGCTCTCCATGATGAAGCGCAGCACACCGTAGCAGGCCCTCCTGACGGCGAGCCCTCCCAGCAGCTTGTACCGCAGGGACTCCGCCTGGGCAATGGCGCACAGCCCCCGGTTGGCCACCTTCTCCGCGTACAGCTCCACCGTGTTCTCGGGGAAGTTGAACCGCTTCTGCACGACCGAGGTCAGCTCACGGATGCGCCGGCCCTTCTCACCTGCGAGAGGAAGTTTTGCTGAGCTTTGCAAGGAATCTAAGGCTGGAAAAAGACCAGCGGCAGGCAGAAAGGGTATTTAGATCTTGAAAGAACTGGGATGGTTCCTACAAAGACAGGGCAGCTTCCAATCCTCAGGGGAGACGATGCTTCCAGGCATGCTTGACAAATGAAGGTGGTCCTCCCCAGTACCAAGGTAATAAGAGAAGCTCCCGGGACGGGCAGGCACAGACGAAACGACTGCAACCCTCAACTAGCCTGCTGCAAAGCTTAGCAAAAGGGTGGGCCGGTGAAAGTTGTAGAACCGCGTTCTATGTTAGAAGATTGCTGCCTCAATTGAAATGTTGTACCCTGGCTCTTGAGCTCCTTGCACAGTTCCAAAGAAAGTTTGCTGCACCACAGCAGCTCCCTGAGGATCTGGGGACATGATTTGGGCACAACCCTGACTGTTTTGCATCCTGCCCGGACTATCAACAAAGGTGCAAGCCAATACTCCGATCAAAACCCTGCTTTTCCCATTGCAAAGTGAAGAAGCAAGGCTTGCCTCCTCACTCCTCCATGTAATTCCAAATTCCCCACTTATAGAGAACTTCGATTCCAAATTACTTCTTCAGTACTCTTTTGCATACTTTAGCGAAGCTGGAAATCTCAAATCGCTTTAATAGACTCCTCTGGTGTTCCTCGCTGCTCCTTGGATTCTGAGTTTAGAACTCGCTGTCTGTCAGTACCCAGTAAAAGCAGGGTTGCACAAGAAGTTATCGACGCCCTTCCGCACAAGGAACCCCCCGCATGACAAGTTTCATCGGCAAGGACTTGTAAGCGGTCCCAGCTCACTCCTCAACCCTTGACCACGACTCTGGCCTCCAGGCTTCTGCTTGTGCAACGTGCTACCCATGCATGCTTGCAAAGGCCCTCTTCGCCTAAAGCATGGGCAGAGAACCTCGACAGCGAGGCCGCACTTTAAAAGGCAGCCAAGGTGCACACAACTGGTCTGTAGGTACTGAATACCTGCTTGCACCATTACCACATGCGCTTGCCATCGCCTGCCTCGGTTGCGCCGGCCCCTGACAGGTGCCCCTGATACTATGGCCCACTTTCACAATACGGAGTCTGTTGTGGGGTGCCATTTATCAGGTTCAATCCAAATATGTCACAGCATCCACTCGGAAGCAGCAGACCGGACGCTTACCTAGGACGTTCTGTGTGCGAGTGGCCCTGATGATGATCTCCGTGCGCATGGGGGTGACACGGACCTCCACGCCCGAGTACCCATCCTCTGCCAGCTCGCGCGTAAGCATCTCGTTCAGCTCCGCGTAAAACACTCCATCCGCCACGAACTGCAATCATGCTTCGCAAATCCCTCAGGTTCCAGAGAGCAACGACCGATCCAAATGGGTGCATCTGATGAGCGGCTGAGAATCCGGATTGTGGGGCTACCCGCCAACGTTTCCCATCTTCCGGCCTATTTCAAGTTCACCTTTCTCTCCAGCATGATGCAAGGATGCAACAACCAACAACCATTACCATAACCACGACAAAACCTTAAGAAATCCCGTGTGCCTCACCTTTCTCTTCTTGCTGATGTTGGCCGCCATGTTTGCTGCTTGCAAAAAGCACCTGAAGCTGTGCTCTTAACACAACCTCAGGCAAGGGGCGCCCCTACAAAGGTTGGTGGTCTCGAGCCTTGGTTGGCGAGAAAGAGGCACAGGTTGGACCGGGGAGTCATCTTCCCCTTCTCATGAGTGGGTTTGCTCGCAACCCAGTTTCGCAACCATCATCGAGAAACAGCGCGTCGAAGTATTTTCAGGTCCAAGGAGGGTTTGAAAATTTCGACGTCGATGAAAAGTTGGAACGTCACCGTTCGTAGCCTTGGCCTTGTTCAGTGTAAATCTCTAGCCTATTAGGGTTCGATTGCAATTTGCACTGCCGTAAACTGCACAGTGCTCAGTATAGGAATCATCTGCCCATCTTTGGCGTCCAATGGGTAGCCTTAGGGGCGTCCAGCATGGGCGCGCAAATGCTTGTCTTCCTCAGAGGTCTGATTTCAACCAGCTCTACGTTGAGCACGTGGAAGACGAGAAACGGAGCCGTGTGCCTGTGATAAGCTCCTTTTGGAGTGGGATGCAATGTTGTTGGGAGAGGGGAGCACATGATCAACATTGGGCAGGTGGCGACCATGACCAGCAACTGGGGCCTTGCAGTTTCAGCTGCTGACGTGCCTCCTCCTGTTCTATGTATGCTTATCTCTGAGCTGAAACACTGCAGCCTGTTTCTCTTTTAGCCAGTTGCAGTAGTCCTGTTTGGCAGCCTGAGATGTTCTATACTGATTGCATCGCTTCTCATGTCAAGTAGTCATGCTGCTCCCTAATGATGTGCTTTTTCATTCATTGATTTGCTGAATTGAGCGTTTTTGCACGAATTACTACTCAGCTTCATAATGACACTGAGTGGGACCGGGCTATGTCAGGTCGACAACCCTCTGTACCGCCCTCCTTCGTAAGGATTGTTCTTACAATGTGGACCGCGCAATCAAGTTGTGTTTGACTGTTTGACTGTGCCCACGACAAACCCCTTTCGTTTGGTTTTGTGAAGTTGCATCTTTGTATTTTTGACAAGCCTTTGTCATTAACCATGTTCGAAAGTCAGAATATACTTGGGTTGCATCACTCCTAAGTAAGATACAAGGGTCGGTCATGTGTACAAGTATTCCTGCTTTACTTCGTGGTGCCTTTTGGCTCGACGTATCTTGACTTTTCCAAGGGCTTCACCTTTGTTGGAAAACCAGGTTTGGATGCACAACTTAGTGGGCCAGGTTCTGTATGATGCCCACGTGGTGCCCGGCCAAATCTAACAGCAAACAGAAGCAGGGTGACAAGCAAGGGTCGAGGAATGTCCATCCAACGATGCTCTGATGGTCTTGAGGACAGGCAAATCAATCTCATTCCAAAATTGGCTTGAGGTTCAAAAGCGGGCTTAAAACAGATGGGGACACAGCATGATCAAGTACGTCCTGTGCCGAAAACGTATTTGTGTAGAGAAGCAAAAAATCATAAGCTCTATTTCGAAGCTGGAAATTTGACCTTACATACATAGGCGTTAGTGGGACAAGGCCGAGTAGGAGGTCACATAGCTAATAGACACAGGTTGAGTTGCAAGAGCGCAGTTCCTGTATTGAAACATGCGTACTAAAGTTCAGCCTGCTCGAACTTGGACTAAGCAGCCGCCATGGATTGTCTGGACGATGTATTGTTATTTTACTGTCAATTGTCGGTTTGGAAACCGTATGAGGACTTTTACGATTCTCTCGCATGGCCTCGCTAGACTCGTGGATTCAAGGCCACCAGCCCACCAGCCAGACCATTAATTAAGGATGTCCAAGACGAATAAGTATGCAAAAGGTCGCACTGCACAGTACACGCATATGTGCACATGCACTCAATCGGGCTGCACATGGGTATTTCAATTAGCTCTGGCATGCCAGGTGGGATCGCAAGTTACAAGCTAGCCACTTAGCCCTCTAGCTACAAGTGCAAGATGTCAACGTACAGGATTTCAGTGTCAATATAGGGCAATACATTAAATCCCATAGGATAAGCATGCATATCATTGACATCGTCATGGCAAGATTCGTAGCACACTAGCTTTGAGTCTGCAACCATCATGCGTCAAAAGCACAGTGGCCAAGGCATACTTGATCTTCAGCAGACTGAATCTCAAGGTGCGATGATTTATAAAGCCATAGAAAGCTGAACCTTTGACATAGATTAGAAACGACTTGACAGCTCAATCTTTCCCTCTTCAATCTGACGGTCCGTTCTCATACCGGCACGCCTGCATCAGCGGCCCGAAGCCAGAGCGCCCTTCCCGATAGTGGACCTTGATGCAGCGCCATGTAGGCTGCATTCAGTCTGCACACAACCAGGAGGGTGCTGAAAAACGTGCTACACTACCATGAGGAAAATGCGTGCGCTCTTATTACGAGAATGTTAACTCAAGTCCATTGAAGAACGGGACACCGATGCATTATCTGCGGATGCTGTTTGCTAACAGAGCACACCCCATTTCCCAAGCAGCCAGTCACACCCAAAGAGAACACTTTTCCTTCTGCTTCGTAGAAAGGATTCATAGCAGCGCAACTATTGGGAATAGGACGTACCTCTCGATGTTGGGTGGCGCAATTGGGTCCTCGGGCTCCTCCTTTGGTGCTGTTTGAGGCCTTTCTGGCTCCTGCGAAAGCAGCAGGCCAACCGCTTAGCGAGGGACGGATCCTAGCATCTAACTCAAACGAGTATGTCCTACAAGGCCCAACAAAGCAATTTGCATTTGCCTTCCGAAGTGTTGAGTTCCAAATCATCTGGAGTGCAAGCGGCCAGAGTCGATGGGGCTGCGGCTGGACTACTAGATTGATCTATCTCGACAATGCTGTGGGGCAGCCCCCCCGAATCAAAGGACAAACTTCGTTCATCCCCACACGTGACCCATCTTTACCCGCATCTGCGCTTTTCAAAACCCGACCACTTGAATTCTCGAACCGTTCGCTTGACCACCTTGGAGCACACAGGCTCAATTGGAACCGCCAAGCATCGTGTACATTTTTTGCTGAACGGATCCCATCACCATCGCGTAGGGGCGCAAGTCATTACATCCGAGGAACGGACGCTCAGTCACGTTCAACGGCAAAATCATTCTCCGCACTTTCTTTTTTCAACTCAGCTTCTTTGCCAAGTCGCAATCATCACTTTGATTATGAATCGCCATGAATAAGCGCTAACCTGTCTTACATGCGGCTGCGGCGCCGCTTGCCAGTAGGGGTCCTCATACGCCGCCTGCTCGTATCCGTGATAGCCCTGGTCGTAGGCCGTGGCCGCTCGCTGCGGGGACAGAACAGTGACACTCGTTAGCTTCCGCGTCGACCGGATCGATTGAACGCTCATCTGCAGTCCTCAGGACCATTGAGATCGTTTCGATCGATCACGTGGTATGAGAAATGCAGACCTCGTACGAATTGAAACGAAGCGGTGGTGTACAGCGCTATTCGAGGACCGAAGATGCGAAGCTGGCAAGCCTGGCAGTTCTCCGTCGACGCGAAAGCTTACAAACCAGCCGGTAGCACAGAACGCAAAAGTCGCCTTTTAGTGTCCATTCGTAAAAAGGTATGCCCAAAGAGTGCAACGTGTCTAATGCAGGGCCGAATGGTCGATGTGGCGAGTGCTCTTGTTACTCTCCAGAACCGCTGAAACCAAGAAATCCTGTCGATAAAGCTACGGCAGAAGTTTCCAAAACTGAAATGACCATTCCAATCCACGGCTGCTGATCACTCCGTTCTCCCGTTTGCCAATGCTGCCACCTGAGGACTCAGTGCTCTGTTTCTTGTAACAATTAAGTCGCCTGTTCTCGTCGTACGTGCTGCCGGAATGGGTTGGCTACATGAATCCGTCAGCGGTATCGGCAGTTCGCTTCCAACGGGTCCTCCGAATCATCCAATTGCAACTCGAGAGGGATGTGAATTCGGAGAAGGTTTTGGAAAGGGTTTTTGACACTCACCCTCGGGCCTGAGCTCTTTCCCCACGTGACCCGAATGTTACTCCCCCCCAGTTTGTACCCATGTAGCTTATCCACAGCCTCCGCAGCGCTCGTCCTGTACATGCACAAACAGAGATGTGAGTTAGGTGAATGGAGCAGAAGCAATTTGAACTAGGGGACGCTCTGATTCGTGGGACAACTGCGCCGGACTACTCACGACTCATCCGAAACTCGCAGAGTTGGAAAATCCGTGTGATCGGCCTTCTTCAACATCGTGAATCGATTAGCAATGACGTCGAAATGCATAAGCATACAGACTTTGAGGTGTCGGATCCCAACAGTGCATAGCCTGCTTGCACGCAGCTAGAGCCAGACAGCATACTAGAGTCCAGACATGCAATTGAAACGGAGGCTCGAGACCAGAGTTGGCCCAAAGCGCCCAGATTTCTGCCTATCGTCCCAAACAGTCCTCCAGTATCCTATAGTGAACAGCATTATGCGCCCATCCCACCTTACAAATTGGAGCCAGATCGGAATCGGCCTAGCAAGATTCTTGACGGGAAAGCGGTTCCCACCTAGTGACAAACTGCACGAAGCCGCAGTTCTTGCCGAGGGGAATCTTGACATAGACCAGCTCGCCATACGGGGCGAACACGGCTCGGAGCTCGTCTTCGGTCACCGACGCGTCTACTCCGCCCACAAAGACCTGGAATAAGGGACGGGTTGAACGGGTTAGCAGCCACACAAGGTATACAAAAGATGTGATTGATTGAAACGACAAGTGTGCACCTGACTGAAACATCGCGTCTACAGAAAACAAGATGACAGGGCAGGACTGCAACCGCAAATATGCCTACGTACTGCATCTCAAAAAGGACTGGAAACAGGCTGCGTACAGCTTGAGGAATGCACTGTTCTTAGAAGTGCAAGGGATAGGTTAGCGGAGAGCAGACTGGTCAACAAGCGCAGAAGAGGTTATTGGACAAGAGGACTGACAAAACGAGTGCTGAGACAAGAGCTCGAGAGCAACTGTCCTGTGTGCCAGATAAGCTCGTATTGCGTGGAGTTGGCCGAAAAACGGGAAGCCACTGACGCAGCTTTCACGGTGTCACAAGATTTGAAGAACCCCAACATACAAATGATTGCCAGTACGACACAAGCAAGACAATCAGGGGTTAGGTTAAAAAGCACGTGCCCTTATCAAACGCTATTCGAGCAGCTGCAATCATCCGGAATCATGTGTTTCAACCTCCTTGAGATTCGTCCGTACGATCGTGATGGAGTTGCGAGCACCGGTCTGCAAGTGACCCGACGAGGTGGTCGAACCTCACCGTACTGTTGGTCGGATCCTCGGCCGCGGGGCCCGCCCACTCTCGAGGGATGTTGGGCGCTGCATAATCTACACGGCAAAGTTAGACTGGGCGGTACAGATATTCTCTGACTAGAAGCTTACGACAACAGAGCAACCAAAGCCAAATTAGAGCAGGCGGCAGAACTGTGTTTTGACTGAGGGCTTACGAACCACAGCGATCGGACACTTTGTCGCGTGCACAAAAGAAGCTTGACGGGGAAAGTCTTGGACAAGCGTCTCTTGTGTGGTCCTCGAGGCACTCTTGCCAGCTGGACCCCAAATAACAGTACTGGGTTCATCGACCAAAAGCGGAACTGATTCCCAGGGTTATCCCAAAGAGTCTTCGTCCCTGCAAAGCTTTTGCCACCATTGAATTATTCCAGTCCGTCCGCTTCTCACCTTGCGCGTCCCGCGCCTTCCTCGGCGCGGCCGGACTTATGCGCATTGGCCGGTTCAGGCATAGCTCCCCTGCACAGAATGTCAGCAGTCAGACAAGAAAGCCTACCAACAAATTTGCAATTGACTGGTGGCGCAGAGGAGGATCTCCCAAAGCCGAGATCTCTGACATTCCAGCCGATCAGTAACAGCAACAGAACGTTCAAAGGATTATTGCAAAAGTTTCGACTGTGGGCGTTTCGAAGATGGCCTACATTAGAAGGTCGACAGAGTTAGCGCTCTCGAGCACGCGAAAAGAGCGCAAACTCGCAAAGCCCTCTACGGTCGCACAAGAGCAGATAACAACGAGCACTTTCCAAGATCCCTGCAACCCACATGTCTCTTTCCGTCCTGGAGTATCGTGTGTAAGACGGCGTTAGCAATCTGAAGAGAAGACCGTTTTTGCATCATTCCTGAAGACAAGGGCATATTTGTCTGGAGTCTGAAGATGAGAGTATATTTGTCCAAAGCCTGGAAGGAGGTGTAGGCCTGATTTTGGAGAGACAAGGGTAGATTCGCCTAGGTTCTGAAAAAGAGGGTATTCTCCCGATTTCAGACGAGGATATAATATTCGCCTAGGTTTTTAGAGAGGATGATGTTATTCGCCTGCAATCTGAAGGTGAGGGAGCATGAATATCACCCGCCCACCGCTCACCTTGCATCTCGTGCATGGCCCGCTCCTTTTCTGCCTCGTCCGTGAAGCGGACGAAGCCGTACCCCTTCGAGCGGTTGGTCTGCGGGTCCACCACGATCTGTATACCAGCAGATCGTAAGCAGGGATCCATGTCCTTTCTCTATTACCGTACTGCTACGTATTTTCGGCAAAAAAATAAATAATTATGGGTCCTGCCGAATTCCGCTGGAAAATATTTGGAGCGTTAATGGTCGATAACGGAATTTTTAGCAGGTAACACTAGGTCTGCCGAAAAGATAGAAACTTTCATAATCAACTTTTTGGCGTCGAAGGCGCCGAAATCAAATAGCAGTACGGTATACAAGTGTCCACTTTCTTGCTTCCTTCGCGGGAGGTTTCTCGCCCAGAAGTTGATCCAAGGGAGAGGGCTCAACCAGCCATTTGTTACAAAGGCATATTGTAACGCTTGGCAAGAAAATTCGATGTGCCAGGAGAGGTGGACTTTCTGGGGTCTCCGCTGTTGCGAACCTGCCTGTGACCGGCAGGATATGCTCGAGGAGAGTCTACACTCGTTATTGAACGCGTCCAAACATCAATCCGTTCACACCTGCCCTTCTCCTTCCTTATTAATCCCACAGTTCCAACGGCCAAAGCAACGCAAAAGCTCATATATTCTGAGCTCCTCCAGTGTCGGAAACAAGATAAGGATGTAATGTGCCCCACCTTGGCGCTTTTCGCAGAGGTGTAGCGTGAGCGGAACGTGTCGAGCAGCGAGTAGTCCGTGACCTCGTGCGCCAGGTCACCCACGAACAGCGAGAACTCGGGGCCTGTCGGCTCCGGCTCCTGCCGGGACTCCCGATACCGCTTCACTGCGGAAACGGGAAATCAGAGTTGACTTACGATAAGGTGCTTCCTAGAGGCGACAAAAAGCTGCTGCATGACCAAGAAGACCCGATTCGAGTCACTTTGTCAAAATGATTGTATGCAGAGCATGCGGAGGGGAAGTTGCGATTCAAGAGACGACAGACGTCAAGAACCGCTGGCAAGGAACCGAGTCGGAAGATGTTGAGGATTAGAGTTGCTGAACGAAAGAAACGTCCTTGGAGGCTCGACATTCACGGGGTAATGTTAAGGTGAAGGTGAATGGAGTTGGTACTTGCAAACGGAAAGTCAAGAAGCGCTTGTTCACCCCATTCAAAAAGCGGGGCGACAATCTCGTCAGGCGTCTTGAGATTCCAACAAGAGGACAGCAACATCTACTAAACTATTTTGACCACCTTTATATGTTACCGGGCCGAACAAAGATCAAAGGTGGTAGCAATAAAGAGGGGTGTTTCTCCAAGCTTCAATTTTGGAAGCATCAGACCTGTCCCCAAGAGGTCAAATCTGCATGACACCGCAGAGATCGACGCCTACAGATCTTACGTTGGCAAATCTTCCTACCTCCGAGAAGGTGAGAGCTTACAAATGCAAAAACTGCCATCTTTACTGCCAAACCTGTAGCATCAGGTGACCTCCGTGAAAGGCCACATCAAAGGTCAAAGGACCTGTGAATCACAGCAAGCGCCTTTATCAGAAGAGGAGAGACTAGCTCACCTGGCTTCTCGTTCACCCCAAAGCTCGCCCAGTTCATTTTGTAGGCTACACACAGGGATAAGCGCGTGAGTCAGCTCCCATGAAGCAAGAAAGATGAAGTCTGATCGAATCCTTGTGAAGGACCAGGATTGTCAAACGATTGACAAAAGATCTCTACCGCTACATTACCACATTGACGCTACATTAGTACATTCTCAAACCGGCAGGCAACGTAATCATACCCGGCCCCTCCAGATAAAACTTTGCCAATGGGAGATGGTCAGACTGCAGGCTGATGAGGTACAGCTCCTGACCTCCATGCTCAATCGCGCCTTTGTGAAACTCACTTTGTTCTGCATTGAGCATCTGCGCCCCGCTCCAGTTGTGGAGCACATACTCCGCCATGGCATGTGTTTGGAACTCCACGAAAGCGTAACCTTCCGACTGCCCCGTTTGCTTGTTGCGGATCACCTTCACTATGACGGTCTGCAGCATCGGACGAAATAAAATTTTGAAACAACCAAGGACATGATAACACTCCTCTCGAGGTGTAAGCCAACAGACTATACTTTCAAAAGTCCTCCTATCGATTGACACAACCTGTTGGGAGGACTCAAGTGCTGGGCCGAGGAGGGGCCGGAAACAAGAATAGCAAGCGAGAGCGTCAAACAGAGACTAAAATTTTATCTGCACCAGAGCAAGAGCACTCAGCCCCAAGCAGCACAGCTTGATTTTAAGAACCAAAAGTAAGCGAGCAACGCAGCAAGGAAAGCGCCTCACTGGGATTGCGCCAGCAACATGTGCCACCATGGTTTTCCTTGCGGCCAGATTAGATAGGTCACCAGATAGCTTTTGCAGCGGCTTCGTGTTTCCGGCCATTCATGAGCATGACACTGACGAAGACAAAGTACCAAGTGCGAAGAACGTGATGATGCTGCAGCAATAGATCTAGGGCCGCCTGTGGAGCTCGAAACAGCGCCGTCCAACCAGCAAAACACAACACTCGGGAAAGACCAACTACAGACTTAGAAGAGGCCTCACCTCTCCAGATGCATTGAAGCAGCTGGCCAAGTATGCCTCGTCCATCCATAAGGCGAGGTCCCCGACCCACAGGGTTTTCGAGTCCTCCGGAATACCTGGAGGGGTTGACGGAGGGGCTGCGGTTGCAGCACCCCACCCTCCGTCTGCCATGATTATTCCTGTTGCCAAATGATTACTTACAGTCTTCCGCCAGCACTTTATCTCCAGAAGTCTCTCTTAAGCTTGGATTGATCGCCTTTTCTCTTGCCTCTGAGCAAGAAAGCACGAAGAATCAATGGCGCCCTTCCTGTTCGATCTCTTAAAAGTTGTATGTCAATGTCGTTGTACTAGGTAGCTTTTTGCTGGGCAGTGTTCGGCAGCAGCCAGTGCTAATGTTCAGCAAACTTCGAAGTCTGATGAAAGCATTTGGTGTGAACCGGCCCCCTGGCTGCTAACGGTTGACCTGTCGATCTGCCGTTCTCGCAGCTTTCGGGGCAAAGTTGAAACACCAAGGGTACTGTCACTTTGAAGTGGCACCCCCTTACGTATTATGTGGAGGGGGGGGGGCTTGGCTTGCTTCGGCCAACCGAAGGCGGGGAGGGGGGGGGCTTGAGGCCTTTACCTTGGTCAAAGCCCCAGCCGGATTTCAGCTGGAAAACATGCTTTTTCATGCTAATTTACCATCATTTATCCCACGGGTCAGAGTTTGTAGACCATAAATGTACCAAAGAAGCACTTTTCAACTTAAAAAAGGGGCGAAATTATGCATACGATAGTGCGTATATCTAAAAATACTGCTCGGGTGGTGGCAATATGGACCGGGGCCTTGACCTTTTTTGTGAAGAC